ACATAAGTATGCGATTCACATAAAGGACAACACAAGGAATAGTGCATATGGCAAGCACTTCAATGATCAATATGACTGAGAATTTACCAGTATTATATAAGAAATCATGAGCTAGAACTGACAGTCGGTCATCAGGAAAATGCCAGCCAGTTTGGTCATGTTTGACAAAACTGCAACTGTGGTCAAACATTTAAGTAACAAAATTAATTGCTCAACATAATGCTGTAGATTAGAAACAATTTCTCATTTAGTTCAGTTGCTACACATACGACAGGATGAAATTTAAAAATAAATTTGAGAACTAGAATCAAAATAATCATAAAAAGTTTTGTTAGACCAGAGGGATTTTGAAAGTCAGATATATGTACTCTTGAGAAAAAAAATGGCACTCTAACAATAAATAATAAGCATAGCACACCTTGGACTTGTAGGCATAACCAAATACAATAATAATAAACACTTACCAAATCTTTCGGCATGCATGTCTCCAAAATTCACGTTGACGTGATGTCGTGATGCCGATGTTAGATATCCCAGAAGCACTCAGGCATACAATTATGCCAGGACTTCAACCTGGGTGAACCAGAGAGGATATACAACACTTGCTAGAACTTCGATACCATGTGCGAACCAAAAGTACTGCTCATGTTATATATTCCAGAAGCACTCAGGCATACAATTATGCCAGGACTTCAACCTGGGTGAACCAGAGAGGATATATAACACTTGCTAGAACTTCGATACCATGTGCGAACCAAAAGTACTGCTCATGTTATATATCCCAGAAGCACTCAGGCATACAATTATGCCAGGACTTCAACCTGGGTGAACCAGAGAGGATATATAACACTTGCTAGAACTTCGATACCATGTGCGAACCAAAAGTACTGCTCATGTTATATATCCCAGAAGCACTCAGGCATACAATTATGCCAGGACTTCAACCTGGGTGAACCAGAGAGGATATATAACACTTGCTAGAACTTCGATACCATGTGCGAACCAAAAGTACTGCTCATGTTATATATCCCAGAAGCACTCAGGCATACAATTATGCCAGGACTTCAACCTGGGTGAACCAAAGAGGATATATAACACTTGCTAGAACTTCAATATCTTGTGCGAACCAAAATACTTACTATGTTATATATCCCAGAAGCACTCAGGCATACAACTATGCCAGGACTTCAACCTGGGTGAACCAAAGAGGATATATTACACTTGCTAGAACTTCGATTTACCATGTGCGAACCAAAATACTTATTATGTTATATATCCCAGAAGCACCCAGGCATACAACTATGCCAGGACTTCAACCTGGGTGAACCAGAGAGGACATATAACATTTGAGGGTCTCTACTGGTATTCTAAAGAAATCAAAGATTTATGCTGAAAAAGGAAGATCTCGTAACTGAAGCTTAGGCTTAAAAGTTTATGTAACACAATGATTTCAATCTAGATAATGAACAAGTAGATCTGCTGAAAAAATGAAAAGTGAACCAGACTTTTCTTACTCCTGCATTGTTCTTTGGTAAAATTCCTTAGTTACTTTTCATGTGCAACAATATTGTTCACTTTCCTTATCACACTAAGTCAGTGTTCCTCTTTTTCCTAACTCCTTGGAAGTTTACCTGGATCATTTCCTCACAGAATGTAATCTGATTTAATAAGTATGTTTCAGCAACATCTTTGTCTTTAAAAAACCTTCTCAGGTTTTCTAATGGCAGTGACTGGGTGACAATTTCTTCAATGTTCTCAAGAAACCTGCGTTCTGTTGAACCTAAAAACGATACAAAGATCACGCTTTAGTAAATACTGCTAAAGTTGTTAAATCACCTTAGGCTGGGGGTGGGGATTAAAAGTTGTTCAGTTAACAATAGTTCATGGTTACTATAGCTTTTCATTTTTCTGTATGATTGTTATTAATTGAAGACAAAGTTATTGTTATCAGCTTTGACAACCACACTAAGTAAGGAATAGTCTTTTTGTTCTAAAAGCTTGAAGAAAACAATACATTAATTATAGTATTAAAGATATGGCATTAAATACAACATAATTTACTTTCCTAGTTGTGTGTTGGTTGTTGTATTTATGTTGCATGACTTGTTTAGCTACATTGGCTTGGTATTAGCACTTGGCCAAGGGAAAAGAGGGAGAGGAAAAAAAACATTCTTGAATTTTATGGTCAATGAAGTACGCTTATTTACTCTGTTGGAGTCTTTTGTAGAAAAAGTGACTGTCACAATAGCTGTTTGCATCAATCTGATGTATGACTGTATACCTGAGAATGACAACACTTGAATGATGTGCCGCTCAATACCACTTTCCTGGCCAGGCTTTGTCTTTACTACGATTCTGTCCCTTCCCTTCATACTGTCTGGTCCATACTCGGCTAAAACAGCATTGCAATTTTTAAGGCTCCCATACTCATACGCAAACATTCCCAGTGAACATAGCAACTGCTCTGTATTCCGCAGCTTGCAATGAAGAGCGCATAGGTTTACATCATACAACTCTTCTTCAAGGAGAAACAGCAAGTCATCCCTAACACCCTTCCATCTAAAATATTAGCAAAGGAGAAGTAATATCAAAAATTACTGAAAGTTGACCTTTTATTTTATACCTAAACATTATCAAGCTTAGGTATTTATCAGTTTCTCCTGTGCATATAATGTAATTACAATTATGCCAGATTGTAATTATGCACAATTACAGTCAAGCTAATTCCTAGGAAGTTGTCTGCAGTTTCTCTAAGGACAATAACGCTTATATCTACAACCATAGAAAATTAATGTAAGGTATAATGGAGAAGGCTAAACAGGGATTAATAAAATACTTGTTTACTGAAAATAGTTTTGTAATCAAAATTTAATACATAGATGCATGTCTAAAGTCTGAGGTGTGTACAAAAAAATTAATCACATAACCAAAAACACATAAATAACATACAGCTGCCCTTGTAAAATGATTGCATTAAAAAATTAAATGGGCTTACTGACCCTCCAACATTTGCCTTGCTCTTGATAAAGCATTCTGCACAGGATTCACCACGTTCAACCCCTGGACATGCACATCCCTGCAATAAAATAGAGAATGATATTTTATTGTTTACCAGATAGTGACAGCTTGCAACAAGACAAGACAAAAATTCAAGGGGTATCGCTAAGGTATGTTTGCTGAGTAACAGGACTATTTTACAGGTCGACATCAAGGAACCACAAAACAAGGAAACCAAGGATTACGGTTAACAACGATTTATAAACGATCATAAAATATCGGTCCCACTCGTGCCAAAGATTATGAATCAAGACAACAAACAAAGCAAACAATGGACAAGAAGTCAAAATCTTATGGAAAATGTGAGGTGACACTAAAGGATCTGATTACAAACCAATAGGAAAACAGAAAAAAAATTGTAACTACGTCCATAAATAGGCACACAATCAAAGTAATTGATAATTGATCTAATTGAAATTGAATCCTTTGTCTATAATAGTATCCTTAACAAGCTTGCTACAATTAAAAGCTGTGAAGAAGTTGAAGTTGAGTATGAATTTTAATTACCCATATACCAAAACTTACAGTGAAAACACTATTATAAAATGACTTGTGCACATCCAGTGACATAGGAACTACATTTCATGGCTACTTCTGTGATAACTTACCCGTATAACTTTACAGAACACACAGCACTCTGTGTCCAACCCTCTCTGACATAGACCTTCCATTTCTTCATCTGACTCATTATCTTCACTCTTTCGTTTGATAAGTATTATCAATGCCTGTAATCAAGCGTAACTGTCATAAAAAAACAAGATGAATAATTAAATTTTCTTGAATGTCACATCCCGACATTAACAAATATGATTTTAATGTCCATTAACAGGCTTCTTCTGGGATCACATCCCAAAATGCCCTTTATTTTAATTAATCAGTCTGCATTTACTGTCATCAGCATTTCTACAGCCTGACTTAAAAATGCAGATGGTTACAATCTTTAGGAACACATCCAAGAAGAAAATGAGGAAATTGATTCTTAAGTCTTGTTTTTTTTTAAGGTGATGGAGTCGGTAATTTAGCAGTAGGTAAAGGGCCATTCAAGCCTATAGTGGCCCATCAGGCTTTGTACCCTTACCTTGGATTCAGGAGCATAAAGTGACAAGAGTATTTCTATGCGCACCCAGATGGGGCGCTAGCCCATCAAAGGGTTATACATGCCAGGATTAAGTTCACTGGTACTTTTTCAATCCCCTGAGCTCAGACACTGTGAGTATTGCCTATGAATACAACACAATTACTCTGGCCAGGACTTGAAACCCAGATCACTAGATCTCAAGTTCAGCACACTCACCACTGATAATTACAATGCAGATCACTATGTCTCCCTTATTAAGTAAGGTAAGGTCTGGGTTTGGGCCCAGAAGTCACCCACCAGCGTCAAAGCTTATCCGGATTTCAGTAGCACTAAGGGACTAGGAGTATTTCTACTGCACCCTGGATGGGATGCTGGTCAATAAAAGAGTTATCCCTGCCCAGCATTAAATTTGCCAATTGATACACATTCATACACATTTATATCATTTGTGGGTGGAGAGAAGCACTGTGAAAGTTGAATGTCTTGCCCAGGAACACAACACAATGGCCTCGGCTAGGGTTTCAACCCGGACTGCTTGATCTGGAGTCCAGTGCTCACGTGAAACATTAGGCACTTACAAATTCAGCAGATGGAGGTATTCTACAATATTATTATTATACTATATGTTTTAATAGCAAGCAGAAGAAAGAAATACATGTAATTCTGAAAATAAATATAACTTCAATATATAAAGGAACTCCAGCAATAAGCTGGATATTTTTCCTTGGCCCTACAGTGGCCTAGGAAAGTATATTTAATCACCTGTAAATTTGACTTTAAAGTGTCTTCCATCAATAGTTATTCCATTTTTCTTGATGGCATTTTTTGGGCATTGATTTCCTTTATTAGGGCTTCAACATTGATCCTACAGAAAAAAAAAACAGTTTAAACTCATTTAATTGAACTCCTAACTTAATGATGGGCATTGAATTATGAAATCATAATAGTGCATTTAGCAGTCTGCTAAATGCATTTCTTAATGTGATATTTTAGCCATTGAAGACCTAAATATTATTATTATCACCTGTTTTCCTCACAATTTGCAATTGCTATAGGGTAGACACTTTTACAAAGGTGAAAGGGGGGTGGGGGGTCAGGGGCACCTCAGGAACCCCTCCAGCCATGCCCTTGACAAAGTTTAGCAATAAAAAAAGAAAGAGGAAAAACAATATTTCTGTTTGTTATTTTTCTATTTATCTTTGTACTTTGCATCGGTATATTGTTTTATTATATCATAATTAAATAAATTTTGACCTCCAAAAGAAACGGATAAAGTTGACCAGAATTTAAATACAGGGGTGGCAGATTTTCCCCACTCACCAATTTAATCAAACACACTAACTGGCAATACAAAATGATTTGAAAAGATAAAATGATTTACCTTAGTTCGCCCTAACTTTGTAAAGTTCAACAAGGTTTGCCATCCTTGGTCTGGGATCCGGGACTGCAGCTTGAAGTAAAGCAACGTCCAATCGGGCACACGAAGGGATTTAAAGAATTTTGAGGCACTGTCCCCCAGTATTGCTTCCAGGGCTTGCTTCGGGTCTTTTTTTCTCAGCAGCTGTTCTGCGATATCGCTCATCACTTTAGCCACTTCAACATTCTGGTCCACCTGATCGGCGAATAAAGATGCAAGAGGCACCTGGAACTTATCGCAAACATCGCCGATCAAGGTCCACATATCGCTTGTACTGTCCGGGTTGTCCTTTGCCGGGTCCTGTGTGCCTGAGCTCAGCGTCGATTGACTGCCGTTTTTCACCTCATCTCGAAGGGCCTCTAACTGGGAAAGCACAACTTCAAGTTCAGCCTTAAGCTTAAGATTTTCATCTTGACTCTTCTCGATATCCTCTATGGATATGGCTGACCTTGAATCGACTCCAAATACTGTTTGTACAGGGTCATGAATTTTGTCCTTGTTGTTGTCACGTGTGTCAGTCGCTGTTTGGCAATCTTCATTAGGTAAAATTTCCGCACAACCCCATCCTACATTATGCATTCAGTTCTTGAACAGAGAAAACAATGACAAAAACAATACATTTCCACTGGGAAAACAGATTTGTTTTACAATAGTATGGGGCTGTGCGGAAACTTTACCCGACGACTAGTTCACAAAGAAGAGGTATTCATAGCCTCTTCTTTCGGCGTTGTTTCCGCGATACTTCGGCAAAAACTAAAAGGTAAAGTTTCCGCACAGCCCCATACTATTGTAAAACAAATCTGTTTTCCCAGTGGAAATGTATTGTTTTTGTCATTGTTTTCTCTGTTCAAGAACTGAATGCATAATGTAGGATGGGGTTGTGCGGAAATTTTACCCAGGAATGCCGCATATTTTGGAATTCAGGAGATACCAGTCCCTCGAATCGCTCGTGGAGTGCAGCAATTCAGCTCTTCGAATATCGAAGGCATCCATGCCGCACAGCACCTGATCGAAATGAGAACAAATTTCCCGCTCTTGTGAGTAATGTCTGAAATTCAACCTCAAGAATGTCAAAAGAAAAATCCAGCCCCTCAAAATAAACAGGATTGACGTCATTTGAGGTTGTACACAACGGTGTTAATGTAATCACCGAACGCTCCCCTATTGAAACCACAAATCGAGAGCGATGATAGCTACTGAGCTGGATCATGACGTCACACCATAGCAACCAAACCCCACGAATTTTTTTAACATCCGGTTTGCTCTGGCTCGTCATGTATCTGCTTCTATCCAGACCTCATGTCGTATATCACTTGAGAGGTTCCGGAAACAAGCTAAATACTAATTGAATAACAAATTGGCGCGCATGACTTTTATCCAAAGCACAATATTGTTAAAAGTAGTTTTTAAAGGAGCTGGGTGCTATTCGTATAAGTTACCTGATCATAAATTCGGTGCGGAGGATGAAAAGTACTACTTGTTTACACCTTAAGTCACCTCTGAGAAAAAGAGGTTTCGAACATACTAAATTTAAGAATTTGTTCATGCTTAGCGTCGAGTTATGGATGCACGCGGGAAGTTTAGAAAGCACGAAAAATGCGTAAGAGTAGCTCGAGGCGCAGCCGAGAGCAACTCTAGCTTTTTGAGTGTATAGCGGCTCAATAGAACTTATATAGGGCAAGCACGTACTGAGGACCTCTTGACTCGCATGCAAATTTGGTTAGTAAGTCGTGCATCAGTCCCCACCTTGTCAAGATTTAAGAGGTCATAATTTACCATCATCCATGCAACATCAGTCATAGCTTGACCACAAGAGATGGAGCTAGGGATATCAGCTAAGGTATCCAACTAACCAGTCTTCGCTTCAATTATTACGGTTCGTCCCCCTTTGTGAAAGATCATACAAAATTGAAAACACATTTACTCCTACATTGGCGTTCTTTAATAAGCTTAATTTAACCCTTGACAAACATTTCAAAATCTACAACACAAAAATTGAAAAACCTAGTTATGTTCTCTCCTTAAATGTGCACTTTAAATATGTCTGCGTGCTAAATGTCAAAGGCATGGTGCTCCACCAGAAAGTGCTAGAGTCTAGTTGAACTTCAGGTTCTGTAACCGATGATGTACACATCACTCCATTCCTGGGGTTCCAGCTCGCCTGCAATGTGCTTTTTCTTACTTTTCAGACTCGTGGGGTGATACAACTTCACTTTCAACTCCCTCTTATCCTTGACAGGAAACCACGCGTTGATGGAGTTGACAATGTTGATGCCATCGCCAGTGGCTACGTTCATGTACTGCTTGAAATCCTTGCCACCGCCACTCGTGAAAATCTCGTAGTAGCCTCGCTGAAAGGAACCATTTCCGATCGTAGTCATGAATGTATAAACGAGGACCTCTTTTGCTTCGGCTGGAATTTCAGGGAGATCGAACGAGTAGGTAATCTCAGATTCGTGGAATCCTGGAAGTTTGCCTAGGCTATCAGTTTGTATGGGCACCCAGTCACACTGCATATTTTCGTTGGCCTGAGGCTTGCACAGAGCTTTCTTAGACTAGGAATAGTATCGATGTGCAAAACTAAACTAGGGAGAGGCTGTTTTATTTGAAAAGAAAACTCCCATACAATCGTAATGACAGCCAATGAGGTTTTATCCACGTGGTTTACGGTTTTCGATCAAAGGGAAATGTGGGTCTTTGGTGACGTGGAATCAACCGATTGGACCGTTTTGTATGACAAGACAACTCCCAAACTGTCATGACGACAACCAATGAGGTTTCATCCACGTGGTTTGCGGTATTTGATCAAAGATACATCAAATCAACTAATTGCTCAGATAACCACGATATTATAAGAGTTTGTCTGGGAATATTTACGACCGCTCTTAGGAACGAAAAAAATATGGTCAAATTCTCCAAAAAAATACCTCACCTTACTTCCACAGTGTATCGCTTGTTATCTGACCGCTTACTATGTCAAAAAGAACCCATTTTAGCGAGTTATCCATTTCTAGGTTTACTACCTACATAAGAGGGCATCTCTTACTGCACGAGTTACTAACCAAATTTGCATGCGAGTCAAGAGGTCCTCTGAGGTAAATTTGCATCAAAACGACCGAAGAAGCTTTCGGTCTCGAAATGAACAACTAAATCAAAAACAGCGTCGATGTGAACAATGAAAAAAACCAGAGAAAAGTTAGTATTCTTATCAGGTAAAGCCTAGAAAGAGATTTAAGGTGGCTTTGTAACCTAGTTGAAGTAGTGCCAACGGGTATCGAGGAACTACGGGCTAAAATCCCTTCAAAGTTTTAATCTTTTTTTCATGTTTTCCGATTCATTTGTCGCTGACTTAGTTATGTTTCTTCTTTAGAATTTTTATTTGGACTTAAGACAACAGCATCACAGTGCGGATAGTACTCCTATCACAATCAGGCAACTTGAGTCACTCATAAGACTCACTCAGGTATAAACATTAATTGCGCCATAAAGTCTTACTGTTGAATCAAGCATTAAGGTAACGAGAAAGATAGATATCATCATCACCATTTAAAGAAGCTCTTGATTGTTTAACGATGTCTCCTTGTCAGTACCATAGGAAATTTTTTGTAGATAACAGTGTAGAGAGCGCGCGTAGAAATATCCGAGAGCTATTATAGTAGTTATTACCGTAGTTATTCGGTTATAAGGCGCACTCGGCTATAAGACGCACCCCCAATTCGGCAACTTCATTATTGCATGTTTTCAAACTGAGAAAATCGCTAAAATACTTGGTTATAAGGCGCACCGTTGTTTGGGGAGTAAAGATCGGTCAAGTTTATTGTAAATTCTTTCATAAACTTACAAAAAAGCGAAAAAGTCGCGTATTGATTTTAGTTTACCGTTAATCAACAAAAGCAGAATTGTCGCACACGCGACCGCGCACACAAACAAAAGCCTTGATTAAACAAGATGTACCGCCGAGAATGCAGGTCTCAGTGCACTAAAAAGGCTGAAAGGATGAAGAAGGTATTTACCTCTTCGCTTGTTTATAGTCTTCGGTTTTCCGCAGAAATAAGACTCTATCAAAAGAAAACACTGCAAAAATTTGCTACCATCATTCTACTAAAAAACTCCATTCTATGTGTGCCAATTAATGTTATTTGTTTTGAACTGATTTTTTAATTATTTTCTTGTATGTGTTGTGCCGTCAATGCTTGCGTCATTGCTTGTAATGAAAACATCTCCCAACAGAAATGCCCCAACATCGAACCGCAAAAATTTTTTCTTGCAAACTTACAGAAAGAAACGCCATTCCGCGTACAAGGAGGCGATTTCTAACGATCACGGCTTGAGATGCGCGAAAAGGCTAGCCAACAAGACGGCAAGGATGTGGTGGAGATCATGAATTACAAGCTCCTGGACACGTTTAACCACGACTTTGGAAATCTGGATTTTCAACGCTCTCAACATGGCTCCGGAAAGAGCTCAAGAGCACAGGTTAGTCTTCGTATGAAAGGAGGTTCGGTACTCATCGTCACGTACCCAGCAAAGTCTGTCTTAAATAATTGACAGAAGAGCTAACTGCGTTCATTTTTCCTTCGTTCGCTTATAAAATCCCTTTTTTTAACACACAAGCATCAAATTCGCACAGAAAACTCCATTTTAGGCCACCAAGGGTAGAGCAAACGCCATTCTTTGCGGTGAGACGGGTACTCAATAATGGATTATTCGCCTTATGGGTCTGTTGAATCATTCCTGTTATGGTTTTATTTGGGAGACTTTGTCTCAGTTTGTTAAGAAGGAGTTGTAGTCCGTGATTGCTGAATTCTTTTTATCTTGCAGTCAAAACGCTTCGTTGCAGAGCTAAGTCGCATTTCAGAGAGGGAATACAACTCACTTTTCATTGTTGCGAAGGTAACTGGGACGCTTTTCTTTAGTAAGAACTTAACTTTAATAAGATTAATTTTGTAACAAATGAATGCAATTAGAGCGAGAGTAGATCGGCTTCTCATATGGGCGCTATTTATTTGGGATATATTTTCCTGCATGTTCCTCACGTGAGCAGATTGTGCACACTTTTCCATTGATTCTAATGCATCCAAATGCTGGCACTCCTTTCTATAATTAACATTAAAATATTTGATATGAGCACTTAAGAGATTACATTCCAAGAGTCGTTGGGTTCTCGATGATTTTAGAAATTTAAGTAGGCAAATAAGATTAAGAAGGTGTCTTTGTTTTTCGCCTTTTTCCACCCATTAAATCTGGAGATACAAAGTTCAAGTTAAGAGTACTTTTTCTTAAATATGGTTGCTCCACTGGCGTGCCGCGCGCCCTGAAGTTTCGCAATCATTTAATGTGTGTCTGAAGTGCTTGGTTTGCCAGTCACTTCTTCTTGAATGATTCTCTCAGAGGGATCTCATTTAAAAAAGTTTCAGTTTGAAAAACACCTCTTTTTCATGTTTACTTGTGATAGGATCTACGACTGCAGATTCGTAGTTTTGACGACTTTGTTTATTCTCTGAACAACCAAGGGTTTCTTCTAAAGAAGGGACCGAGAGTCTACCAGCTGCAGACCTCGAACTGCCTGTAATTGATGAGTAAGCTACTGGGGATGTTTGATGGAGATTGTGCCCTGGAAAAGGGCAAGACCGTGTGAAAATACTAGACCTGTATCACTGAGGATATTCGGACGAAAGCTTTCTACGTTTAAATAAAAATTTGGTTCCTTAGGTCCTCAACTTAAGTTACACTCATGCAGAAGAACTGAACTATTTAGTTAGTTTCTATTATATAGACGTGTTTTTTTCCTACAGTACCACAGTAACAAACCCCTCTAAAGTACAAATACTAAATGAAATCACGGATTAAGATTTAATGGCCGAAAGCGCTTCAAAAAATTATGTTTCCATTCTTTTAATAATAAAAATAATAATAATAAAAATGATAATCTGTCTTTAATAAATCAGAAACAACAAACGTGTAACTTTACAATATATCAGTAAGAAAATTATGAGTATATTTAGGAATATGTATAAATCGTTGCATTGCAACATGTAATATTATGAAGTTCCCTATATATGGTGAATTTAATTGAAGAGGCAATTATTGAGGAAACAATGCTTGAAGCGTTCGGTTTTAACTCTAGGTAATATAAAGTCATACTTGACTCACGGGGCACACGTCTCCTCTTTAGGGGTAGAAAATCATGAAGTACATGATCATCACTGATTACGTTGTTAAAAAGCTTAGAGTCCCTATCTTTAATTTAGTCAAGTACAGTTGTTTCTTTGTGGTGAAGCCAAACCTGAGGGCCTTCTTGAGAAACCAGTCGATTCTGTCTAGATATTTTCGCTGGTAAGCTGCACCCCAAACTTCAATCCCATACAAGAATACGGACATGACGAGCGAGTTAAACAAATTATTGAGTTGATCTTTGGAAGATCCATAGGATTTGCATACCCTTAGAATGTACATTCAACTACTGGCTTTGGATAGCATATCGTCGATATGGATGTCCCAGTTCGTAGCATCTTCCTGAAATGTGATTCCTAATATTTTTAGCCATGGCTTCCTTTTATTCCTGGTAATTCTGAAGGCGATAACTTAGTAGTTTTGCCGTGTATGCACATTTCCTATGTTTTGGTAAAATTGAGACATCTCGTTTTTATCCGCCCACTTCTTCATGTTCTCAACCTCAGCGGCAGCAATATCTGTGCTTTGCCTAACAGGAACACTTATCTTTTCAACCGAGTGTGCGTTTTTTTTATAATCAGGGGTCCTTTTTTTAACACTCTCGACGAATTCTCTTTTGTGAAGACCTTCTAACTCGTAAGCCGTAATCTGTAGCTTGCCAACAGAATCTCATGAAGGAATATAATCGCTTGTACAACCGTTCAAAGCACCTCTTCTAATTTAATCATAATAACGAAAGCCAACACCGAGGGGAAAGGGTCGTAGAAATTTCTCCACTTGGTTAAAGCATCCATTTGACGTTACAACGCAACAATACCCTTGCGATGTCCACTTATAAGACGGATATTTGTCATGTCACAATAAACTAGAAAAACATCGGGGCCACCTGCAAATGAATCAAAAATTGTAAATAACTGGGTCTCATTCCCTTCGCAGGTTAGCCAAATTGGTTTAGAGTTACTGTTGTGGGTATGGAAGGTGTCTATTCATCATTGTTGTCGTTTAGGTAATATCGCGATTTTTAAGCTGGTATATCGCTAAAACGAACGCAAAAGAGAAGATTGCTACTCCAACCAGCGACATCTTCCTGTTATTAAAAATACCTTAGAATTATCTAAGTGACTGAGGTTATTCTTTTTGCCGTGAGGTTTTTTCTTTCAGAGTGCCTCTCTTTACCCAGGAGTATAAATGAGTAGTGAATTGTCAGGGAAGCCTGATGAAATTTTGGGGAGGTAACCTTGCAAAGAATCGGCATCCTCTCCGGGGGGGGGGGGGGAAGGTTTATCTGTAACATCTAGAATTTAGTGTTGCCTTGACTTGAATGGGCTTTGTAGGCTCTAAGGTTAGTTGTTTGCACCTATACACTCTGTTCTGGATTTTTGCACCCACTGTAAAGAACAAGAAAAGGAAATAGCGGTATGTCTTATTATGTCTTAAGGTGCAGCCAAAGCTTGTCTTGCCATTGCCATCCGTTACTCAGCAACTCGCTTTACAGTGGGTCCTGATGGCAAATCTGACACACCCATTCTCAAGTATCAGCTCCAACAGAACGCTCTGGTGCCACTTCTGGCTGCTACTTACGCCATGGATTTTGCACTGCAATATATAAAAGATCGCTGGGCTTTTCAGGTACTGTGGCCTTGCAAAACGTCTTGTGTCTAACAAAGAATGATTGGAACAGTACGTGTATTTTTGTCCTTGTTTTTTAGTGGACAATGTTATTATTCCACTCTTGGAAGTTGAAAATACGCTTATCTGTTCCAACGAGTGAACAGTTTTGCGAGAGTAAAGCTCGAGGAAAACTGTGAGCAGCAGAGGCTCAGCGAGGTCCTGATACAGCTTTGTTTAAGATCTTATCATTCCATTTCCTTCACAGGCAGCTGATGGATCTGAGAATGCGGATGTGGTGATTATGTGTTGTGTTATAAAGGCTATAACTGGCTGGCATGTTGCTGAAACAGCTGCCATTTCCCGCGAGAGGTGTGGGGGCCAAGGGTATCTGTCCTGTAATAAGTTTGGCAGTGGTATCGCTGGTTCGCATTCCTCCATGACAGCCGAAGGGGACAACTCAGTCCTGATGCAGAAGGTGGCTTCAGAAAGGCTGATGAGTCTCAAGCCATCCATGTTGGAGGTAGCGGCCAGCTATGTGCCGAAGGCTGTGACCCGGATCTTCGGTTGGGCCAATCTCAACAACCCGAAATACTTGTAGGAGCTTTTAGAGTCACGAGAGAAAGATCTATTTTTGAGCCTTGGAATGAAGATGATGAAGGCTGGGAAGGAGGGAAGATTTGACACCTGGATGTACATGGAACAGGATCTTGTCCAAGCTGCTGCTCGTGCGTATGGTGAACGACTCATCAGTGAATGTTTTGGCAAAGCTCTTGACAAAGCTGACCCTGGTCTGCAACCAGTTCTCCAGAAACTTCATCATCTCTATCAGATGTCAGTCATCAAGAAGGATCTCGGCTACTTCACCACCTCGGGGCTGATGTCTACGTGGACTGGGGCTAAAGTTGGGAAGGCAGCTGCTGACCTGTGTCGAGAAGTGGCACCGCAGGCCACTGCACTGTGTGATGCATTTGGATTCACCGACGAAATGCTTAATGCCCCAATTGCCAGAGACTGGGTCAAATATAATGCAGTAGATAACAAAGGGGAAGTCGAAGGTGTGCAGTATTGATGCTGCCACCCGAAATTCGCTCAATCTTGTGAACGAACCCTTTTTTTTCTGAAAGCTCCTGAAAAAAAATTTGTCGTAAATTAGAATCACAGTGAATCATGTTCCTCAGGTGTATGCGCTAATAGAATAATTCCTCCATAGTTATTTAAGTGTTGGCTTTCTCTACTAGCAAGAAGTCATGTTTCGTCGTTGGGGATTTGGTTTGTTTCACTTATTTAGTGTTAGAAAGAAGAGGAACTGAGCTGAGCTATTTAATAAGCCATCGCGCGTTTAAATAGGGGATGGGGAGGGAGGGGGGGGGGGTAAGTTTCTGAAGAAACTGCCGTGCTGCGTCGGTGGGGTGGGTTCGGTGGACGTTTCGAGCGTTAGCCCTTCACTCTGGGAGGATGGTAGCGGTCAAGTTTGGCAAGTTTTCATCTCCAACATGCGAAGGTTTAATCAAATCCACCGAGAGATGGGGATGTGAGTCCATTAATGGACGTGCCCATTTTTCGGCTACGTAGGTGCACTAATTTTTATTAGATCCTGAGTTAAATTTTTGGCAGGGTAATTTTTTATTTGAGGTTAAAGAAAAAGGCCTAAACCCCTTCAGCTGTGACACCTAGAACCGGAAACTTTTTGTGATACTTTTTCATTATAATGGCCTAGGGGTCTACATATTTAATCTTTGTTGTATTATGATCTAAAGTGCAGAAACACAGTATTCTCTTCCTGAGTTAGGCGGTCATATAATAGTGGTTGACTTAAACATGTCTTCACTATACACGTGATTATTTATTGATTCATTTTGAAATAAAGTCTTGAGATAAATTTGTCGCACGAAAGATGCGTTTTTGTCACTAGTAGGTTGTGGTTGTGAGTCATTTTCAGCCGTGTTGAGATATCACATAACTTCACTCTCCTTACTCTACACTCTCTTTCCTTTGTCAACCAAAAAAAGGGGTAATAATGATTTACAAAGGAACGAGGATTGCAAACAGTAAACTTGGAGAGTCTTAAACTTCTGAAGACATTTTGACGTGTAATTTTTCATCCGTGGCTAAGTAATTTTTCAAATGAATAAAGGGGGTAAGTTTCTGAAGAAACTGTGATGCTGCGTCGGTGGGAGAGTATAACAGGGTAATTTAGTATTATCAACTGGGTTGATAACGTAAATTGGCCATCGTAAAGAGTTTAAAAGCTGACGTTTCGAGCGTTAGCCCTTCGTCTACTGCTCTGACTAGGGGCTGTTATTTGAAGAAAAAAATAATAACTCAAAAACAAGCCATGAATTTTTATCAGTAATTGCCATAGCAACAACATTTAGGTTCTGAAAGAGTCGTCCATAGTAGTCCAAGGCTGTAGGTTTTTATTACTGACCTTCTACCGAGTGCTATGTGATAAACATTTGCCAAGGGAGAAATTATTTATGCATATGTGATATCCAAAGCCTTGTAAAGTTCTCTATAGAGCCACCTTAAATATATTTCTTGAAATGAACGACACTTTTAAAATAAAAAAACCCGTTTCGACGGTTCTTCTGTCATCTTCAGTTCTATACGCTCATATTTTTCTGCTATGTCGTGGATGATATGAGTACATAGAACTAAAGATGACAGAAGAACTGTGGAAACGTTTTTTGATTTTAAAAGTGTCGTTCATTTTCTTGAATTCGTTACATATCTGCTTCTATCCAGATCTTTTGGTAATATCATCCACGACATAGCAGAGAAATATGAGCACATAGAACTGAAGATGACAGAAGAACTGTGGAAATATATATGTTGTTTAATTTTAAAAGTGTCGTACATTTTCTTAAACTCGTTACATATTTGCTTCTATCCAGATCTTTTGACAATATCATCCACGACATAGCAGAGAAATATGAGCACATAGAACTGAAGATGACAGAAGAACTGTGGAATTATATATGTTGTTTAATTTTAAAAGTGTCGTACATTTTCTTAAACTCGTTACATATCTGCTTCTATCCAGATCTTTTGACAATATCATCCACGACATAGCAGAGAAATATGAGCACATAGAACTGAAGATGACAGAAGACCTGTGGAATTATATATGTTGTTTAATTTTAAAAGTGTCGTTCATTTTCTTAAACTCGTTACATATCTGCTTCTATAAGCACAGGTATCACCTCTGATTGGTTGATAGATATTGTAATTTAATATGAGACCAGATAAGGAATAAGTATAGTATCGCTTCTGAGTGGGAGGTTTCGAAAATAATCAATACAGTAATTAAATACAATAAATATTCCAGATAATAAACGTTGATATAACTTTTTAGTATAACTACACTTGTTCAGTAACGCTAAGTAAATCAATTATCACACTGTTTGGAAAAAAAAATTACCCATGCTTTATAGATATCTGAATTGTATTTTTCTTCGAACTAATTCCTATACGGCTTTAATCAATTTCCGTCTTCAACAGTCTTGTTTTTTTTGTTTTGTTTTTTTTTTTTTAAACGCCTTGTTTTTTTTAATTGTATTGATCTCATAACTTCCTTTACCGATCCCCTTGGGATTATATTTGATTGACAGTGTGTTCTAGTTTTGGTTTGTATAAAACTCAAGAGCAAAACGACAATCGTTTATTAGAAGTGTCCTTCCCGGAGAATTGAGACAGAAAACACCCAAGGTAGGTTATGGTTCGTCTTAGGATGCAAAGCTGATTCAAGTTTATAAAAACAGAGACCACATAAAATCCAAAAATCCTGACCTTCACCCTGTTTCGTATGTAAAACCTTTACCACATGATCCTCGAAGAAACCGCGAGGGAAACTCTTAGAACAAAATCTGCTGTAAGAAAAAAACAGTTATTACCTCACTTGAGAATTTCAAGATTATCTGAATTTGATGAATTCACTTCTTCTGCCATTCACGCCCGATACTGCTTCAGTAAGTCGTTCATTTCGTTTATCACTCCTCTGATTACAGACTTAGTTGGGCTTCTACTCAAATATGTCATTCTTCATTACTTTTTGTTTTTTTTTTTAGCTTCGTACTTTTTTATACTCAATCACCATTACTTATGGTTGATTTAACCAAACCCGATCCTCGGATGAAACGTAATGTTTGAATTGAATGAAATTATAAATTCTATCTTATTTTTGTCTCTCTGTAGGGATTTGCTAAACATGAGAAACTTGGTCATTTTGTTGATTTTCGTGAGCTGTGCATTGTCTGTGGCGGCTGGTAAGTGCAGAACGAAACTTAAAATTCTTTCAAGTGACTCTGAATGCGAAGGAGGAGAGATTGTGAGCTGGAGTTGGTTGGTTACAGCTCCTTACCCCATGAAAACTTTCTACATTGGAGAATGGTGGGGTGTGATCTAGGAAATTTTAATCAGCTCGGTGACCAAGGCTAGGGTTCGCCACATTATGCTCGATATTTTACATCATTAGTTTATTTCTTAATGCTCGGAAAATGTCACAATTACGCTCAGTTAGCATCGCTGTTGTGTTGCATCACAATTAATATGAGAACTTCTGGAACTGCTGGAAGCCATTTTTTTTCTTGTTGTTTTTTATGGTACCTGGCTAATTTTTAACTAGGCCTAGTCTTAAAGTTTAAAAATATGTTATTCCTTATTTATTTTTAACTCGCGGATACGCGATAGCGCAGAAACGAGTTGTTGTGGGGACTTTGGGATATGCAAATTGGCGTGAACTCCTCGTAATTAGTCGCAAATTTGAAGGATCTTCGAATCGTCCATCCGCTAAACATAACGAGGAGCAGCGAGAATCACGAAGTGTTTGTGAGTGACAGAGAGAGCTGTTGACATGGAAATTGGAAATCCCACGGAAACATGTACCCATTGTTGTGTGATCTTCCAGAATGTTTTAGAAGTAGCTGTGTCATCCCTGAATCAATATATAAATAGAATCTATTGTAATGTTACGGAACGTTCTAGATCCTCAACCGTACCTATAAAAGCCGAGCTTGTAACTAGATGTAGCGAGTAGTTTAGTTGCTGGTATAGCCCGTCAGATATCAATAAAGGTGTATGCTGCAGAATACAAGATGTCCACACTTCACCCATGACATAAAAGAAATGTTAATTTACAGCATAATTTCTGTCGTTTACGCCAATTTCGGTCTTTTCGTTATAGTCGTTTCGTTTTGTTATTTTTCTATGCAATCGTGACTGTTCTGATGGTAAGAATGAATTATGATCGGTTTCTACAAGTCGTTGCCGAGCACGTGACCATAATCTGGCCGGTGTTGTTTTGATCACTTGACGATCTTTTTCGCTCAAAACACACGACTCCCCGCCGAATTTGGTGGGCCGGCCCCGCGTGGGGGTGCCCCCTCACCTTGGCGGTATTTTAAGTTTTTTTTTCTTTGTTGCTTTGGGTATTTTATAGTCGTTAGGGTCGGCAGCCATTGCACTGCGGCTGTCTTACCGCCTAAAATATAAAAAATTACAGCTCTTCTCCTCACTGAAACGACTTACATAGGAATTAATTCACAAAGAACCAGTGGGGAGGCGAAAGAAGGAAAATAAAAACGGTCTGGCTGCACTGGTGACCAGGCATGAAGGGATCCTGAATTAAGGGGAATGAGACTTAAACAGAAATGTTGATGAAGTCTGATAGGATTAAGCGATGTACTTACATGTATATTGCTTTACTTTTTTTCCGTCAGCTTGCGAGGATAAGAACGTACATTGTAAATCCTGGGCATTTAACGGTGAATGCGGAAAAAATCCAAAGTACATGCTATTCAATTGCCCCAAAAGTTGCGGAGTCTGTCCAGGTATGCATGATGCTTAAGAAGTGAAATAGATTACCCATAACGTTTTAAAATTTTGTGACGATAGATCCATGTCATGCTTTTTTTCTCTCTTTCTTGTGCTTACATTTCGATTCTGCTGCCAATTTATATACACCAATGGGCATTCCCTGACTTTTCAATCATAGTGTTTTTATTCAAAAATACTTTTTTCACCAACCCCACCCCTCCGATCTCACCCCTCCCCCCTACTCCTCCCCCGATGGCCACATCTGCATAACTGTTAGCTTTCTTTGGATGATTCGTGTAAAGACATCAAAGCAAAATACCTTTTGCGTATATTAGCGTATGCCATATACCACAATGGGTGGGTTGTCGTTGAATTTAATTGCAACCCTCAATAAAGGCCCTTTTAATTACAGCTCTTCTCCTCACTGAAATGACTTCTATGGGAATTAATTCACAACGAACGAGTGGGGAGGCGAAATTAGGAAAACAAAAACGGTCCGGCAGCACAGGTGACCAGGCATGAGGAGATCCTGATTCTGGGGAATGTGATTCAGACAGAAATGTTGATGAAGTCTGATAAGATTAAGCGATGTACTTACATGTATATTGCTTTACTTTTTTCCGTCAGTTTGCGAGGATAAGAACGGACATTGTAAATCCTGGGCATTTAACGGTGAATGTGTAAAAAATCCAAAGTACATGCTGTTCAATTGCCCCAAAAGTTGCGGAGTCTGTCCAGGTATGCATGATGCTCAAGAAGTGAAATAGATTACCCATAATTAAAATTTTGTAATGATAGATCCATGTAATGCTCTTTTATCTCTTTCTTGTGCTTGCATTTTGATTCGGCTGCCATTTTGTACACACAAATGGGCATCCCTGACCTTTCAATCATAGTTTTTTTTATTCAAAAATACTTTTTCACCACCTCCCCCTACTCCTGCCCCGACGGCCACATCTGCATAACTGTTAGCTTTCTTTGGATGATTCGTGTAAAGACACCAAAGTAAAAGACTTTTTGCGTATATTAGCGTATGCCATAAGCCACAATGGGTGAGTTCTGGTTGAATTTAATAGCAACGGTCCGGCTTCACGGGTGACCAGGCATGAAGAGATCCTGATTCAGAGGAATGTGACTCAAACAGAAATATTGATGAAATCTGATAAGATTAAGCGATGCACTTACATGTATATTGCTTTATTTTTTTCCGTCAGCTTGCGAGGACAAGAACGAACATTTTAAATCCTGGGCATTTAACGGTGAATGCGGAAAAAATCCAAAGTACATGCTGTTCAATTGCCCCAAAAGTTGTGGAGTCTGTCCAGGTATGCATGATGCTCAAGAAGTGAAATAGATTACCCATAACTTTTTAAAATTTTTTAAGCTCTTCCCCTCTCCCCCCGACTCCTTCCCCGATGGACACCTCTATATAACTGTTAGCTTTCTTTGTTGTCACCATGACGGTTCAGCATTAAATTTGGGTGATTTGTGTAAAGACTTCAAACAAAGAGACCTTTTGCGTTTATTAGCGCATACCATATACCACAATCGATGAGTTCTCGTTGAATTTAAATGCAATCCTCTGTATAGGCCCTCGTAATTACAGCTCTTTCTCTCACTGAAATGACTTGTATGGGAATTAATTCACAAGGAACGAGTGGGAAGGCGAAATTAGGAAAAAAGAAAAGGTCCGGTAGCATGGGTGACCAGGCATGATGAGATCTCGCGATGTACTAGCATCCCATCATGCTAAGGGAACCGAGTTAAACTATAGCCGGGTGGGCCATGTGACTCGAATACAGACATTTTTTACTCAGCTGTATCTATGAAATACATTTTTGAGTTAAATCTGACGCTGTTTCACAATTTCATTTTCATATTTTTTTTTACGAATCTACCAAGCTAATGACATCATATCAAGAAATTGAAGACCGGCAAACTGTTCAAATAAAATAAACATTCCGAAATTCAATGGTTTTTTTTTCAATGCGAATGCAAAACAAACACGAGACTACGCAAATGTTATTAACTGAACTAAATGAAAAACAAATTATCACAGAATTAGATAAAGTGCTTCTTGGTTTTCTGGATAAAGTGATAATCAAATGGCTTAATACGCGCAACAGATTGAAGGTCAGTAAATAATGATTATTCGAAAACGAAACTTCTCTCCAGCTTTAGTTTACGCAACACCAAGAAAAACTATAAATCGAACTCGAAGATTGAACCAGTTAACAAGACAGTGTTTTTTTCATTTCCATGGGCCGTTACGCCTAACGACAAGTTAAGAAAAGAGCCGGAATTAAAATGGCGCTGATGTAAGGTATCTTTAGAGGGTTCTACCGTTACCATAGCTACCGAATAAATGATCGAAAATTGAGGGTTGCAGGAAATTCTGCGCCTGCACAAAAATATTCATATTTTACTGATGCTGCCACCCGAAATTCGCTCAACCTTGTAAACGAACCTTTTTTCGGAAAGCTCCTGAAACAAAATTTGTCGTAAATCAGAATCACAGGAAACCATATTCCTTACGTGTACGCGCTAATAAAATAATTCGTCCATAATAATTTAAGTGTTGTCTTTCTCTGCTAGCAAGAGGTCATGTTTCGTCGTAGAGGATTTGGTTTATTTGACTTATTCAGTTTTAGAAAGAAGAGGAACTGAGCTGAGCTATTAAATAAGCCATCGTGCATTTGAATAGGGGGTGGGGAGTAGGGGGGGTTAAGGTTCTGAAGAAACTGTGGTGCTGCATCGGTGGGGTGGGTTGTGTGGACGTTAGCCCTTCACTCTGGGAGGATGGTAGCAGTCAATTTTGGCAAGTTTTCATTTCCAACATACGTGAATGTTTGTTTTCATCATATCTCCCTTCACTGCAAACGAAGATTTAGAGGGAAGCCAACATTTATGCCAAAGTTTAATTCGAATCTACGACGTAATGACACATATCGATTCAAAGAACGATCAAGAATTCTATTGTCAGAGGAAGGAAAATAACGGAATATTTTGATTTTCAGAATTTATTTCCTCTTTCTGTTATAGGGGGTGGGGTGGGGAGAGGAGGTTGAATCAAATCCACCGAGATGGGGATGTGAGTCCATCAGTGGACGTGCACATTTTTCGGTTATGTAGGTGCATTAATTTTCATTAGATCCTGGGTTAAATTTTTGGCAGGGTAATTTTTTATTTGAGGTTAAAGAAAACGGCTTAAACCCCTTCAGCTGTGACACCTAGAACCGGAACCTTTTTGTGATACTTTTTCATCATAATGGCCTAGGGGTCTACATATTTAATCTTTGTTGTATTATGATCTAAAGTGCAGGAACAGAATTGAGGACTAAGATAAAGTATTCTATTACTGAGCTAGGCGGTCGTATAATAGTGGTTGACTTACATATGTCTTCACTATACACGTGATTATTTATTGATTCATTTTGAAATAAAGTCTTTAGATAAATTTGTCTCACGAAAGATTCGTTTTTGTCATTAGTAGGTTGTGGTTGTAATTCATTTTCAGCCGTGTTGAGATATCACATACCTTCACTCTCCTTACTCTACACTCTCTTTCCTTTGTCAACCAAAAATGGGGTAATTATGATTTACAAAGGAACGAGGATTGCAAACAGTAAACTTGGAGAGTCTTAACAGACATTTTGACGTGTAATTTTACTTTCGTAGCTAAGTAATATTTCAAATGAATAAAGGGGGTAAGTTTCTAAAGAAACTGTGATGCTGCGTCGGTGGGAGAGTATAACAGGGTAATTTAGAATTATCGACTGAGTGGATAACGTATATTGGCCATCGCAAAGAGTTTAGAAGCGGACGTTTTGAGCGTTGAAGTTTCTCGTCACGTTGAATTCAGTGTTTACACGAGTAAGCGTCCCCCCCTACCCCCGATAACTGCCGCGGCCGAAGTTCGCTACACCTAAGTCGATTTCACCAACATTATGAGGAAGACTATTTCAATACTTTATTTACCACAGAACTAAGGAGAGTTTACAATATATTGGCACCCAGCCACTTGTACAATTATGTAACTTTAAAAATTTATGTCTGGAGTTTCTAACTTTCATAGGTAATATTCATACTCATGTAAATCTCGATCGTTTGTTGTTGTAAGTCTACGCCTAAGTTTAGAACGCAAAGTTTATGCTCGGGAGAACATTTCTTGCCTAAGTGTAATTTGCTACGAATATCTTAACTAACGAAAACATTTCCATACGTTGTCTTGCTACCATTTCAAATCTAGTTACTTATATCTAGAATCTTGAGCAGATGAGGTGAGTTGCTGGCCGTACAAATAGAGTACATTTTGGCGACCGAAGCTACGAGTAGAAGGTATTTAGAGATTGCAGTAATTATTATTTATTGTAATTTGAAAAGTTATTCAGGGGGTTTGCTGATGTGGCGAGCTCGAAGTTGAATATTGAAAACATGAAGTGAACATGTATTTAAATATAGCGAACATGTAGCGAACATGAAGCGAACATGAATTCAACATGTAAATCTCGATCGTTTGTTGTTGTAATGTACGCCTAAGTTTAGAACATGTAGCGAAAGTTTATGCTGAAGAACATTTAGCGAACATGTAATTTGCTAACGCGAAACTTAACGAAAACATTTCCATACGTTGTCTTGCTACCATTTCAAATCTAATTACTTATATCTAAGTTCTGAAGCCTCTTGTTACTTTCGGAAATTAAACTTTTTCGGTAGAATATATCAGACTTCTTCATATTTTTTATTATTTTTAGCATTATTATTCCCTTTTAAAGAGATGTTTCTTTTCATCTCTCCTCCCATATATTTCTCAGAACTCTGGGACTCTAATGTGAGTCGATTATAATTAAGGATTTCATACAGAAAGAGGGTACAATTCTGCATTTTGTCACGATTTTCAGCTCTTTTAAACTATCAGAGTTAGCCTTTTTAAATAACGGTAGAATCACACGAATCTTTCACCGATTCTCCAATTAAAGATGTACTTCCAAGAAACGACTCCATTAGTAATTAAAAAATAAGGTAGTAACTGCTGAGTGTATGTCACTTACCACAAGAAAGCAAACTATTCACCAAGATAAAAAAGCGTGATTCCACGAATCCGATAACGGGTGCATGGGCGCTCCCTATGTGACAATGACAGGCCGTTCGTTATGACAAAACCGAGCGCTTTAAAAGAAGTTGTTCTCCGATGATGTACCTCCATGCCAATAACTTGTAACTAAGGGATTTTAGGGAACTTAACACGTCACATAACGTATACATTTGTGGATTTTACTTGTATGAACATATTGTATTATACTTTTGTAAAATTGTAAGGCCCATAGTACATTTTAAAAATTAGGTAAGCGTTTAAACTTTTTGAAAGTTCGTATTCATAAACAACGATGCATAATGATTTTATTAACATCAAATATATTTATTTATAAATAGTTTCCTTAAAAAAGACGATTTTATCCAAAGTTTTCATATATCGAGTTCAACCTCGATGTTTTAATCAACAATGAGACCCATTTTTCTGTCACAAGTGTTTACCGTAAGAAAATCTTCAGGGGCCTGTAGACTAATTATTTTAGTTTTATACCTTATCCCTACAAACTGGGTCTCACCTGCACTCTTGTTGATAGAGTCTACAAGATCAACAACGCATGGTCGGGTTTCCACGAAGACATCAAGAAACTCACTGAAATCCTTGAAAAGAATCTTTTTCCAGCCCATCTGGTTGAAAGGGTTGTCAATCGGTACCTGACGCTCACCCATAATGAGTGCAATCTCCCGGTCTCCGTTTCAGACCCTACGCCTACCTTTTATTTTAAATTACCTTACATTGGCCCTTTACTGTGGTCAAGCAAAAAAGGGCTCGCCAATTTGTGAAGCGTTATTGTAACAACATCGATGTTAAGTTGGATTTTTCATCTTTTAAAATAGGTAATATGTTTGGTGTGAAAGACCCAATCCCTCGTGGGCTCTGTACGTTTGTGGTTTACAAGTTTTTATGGGCGGGCTGTAACGCCTACTATGTTGGCGAAACCTCTCGGCATTTATCCACACGCGTACGTGAGCACTTGGTCAGTGATAGGACCTCTTACATTTTAAGACGTCTAGACATAACTCTCCACAATGTCGCCTCTTTGTTCTGATGAGTGTTTTAACATCTTAGATCACGCTTCCACAACTTTTCAACTTTAAATCTAAGAAGCTATCCGCATTCAATGGGAGAAACCTACACTACACAATTATCAACTTTATCATGTTAATTTAAAACTTTCCTTGTAAAAGCATACATTATTCTGTTACTGTTGCTTGTTTTGTCCAATCAGCATTTTGTTACACACTTTAAATTAAACTTTGTACTTTGTATTATTCAGAAGTAAAGATGACAGAATAACTATCGAAACATGTCTTTAAAAAGTGTCGTTCATTTTCTTAAATTCGTTACATATCTGCTTCTATCCAGACCTCATGTCGTATATCACTTGAGAGGTTCCGGAAACAAGCTAAATACCAATTGAATAACAAATTGGCGCACATGACTTTTATCCAAAGCACAATATTGTTAAAAGTATTTTTAAAGGAACTGGGTGCTATTCGTAAGAGTTACCTGATTATAAATTCAGTGCGGAGGATGAAAAGTACTACTTGTTTACACCTTAAGTCACCTCTGAGGAAAAGAGATGTCGAACGTGCTAAATTTAAGAATTTGTTCATGCTTAGCATGCGTATATCGAGTTCTGGATGCACACGGGAAGTTTGGAGAGCACGAAAACTGCGTAAGAGTAGCTCGAGACACAGCCGAGAGCAACTTTAGCTTTTTGAGTGTATAGCGGCTCAATAGGACTTATATGGGGCAAGCACGCGCGCTATGTTACAATTAACAATTGGTTCATACGTCAGCGTGCGTTCATCGAGATATGAAGCACGCGGGAAGTTTGAGAGCACGAAAGATGCGTAAGAGTTGCTTGAATCGTAGCCGAGAGCAACTCCCGCTTCTTGAGTGCTCTCCAAACCTCCCAAGTGCTTCATATCCCGATGAACGCACAGTTGACGTATGAATCAATTGTTTTATAACATTTTCAAATTTTTTTCCTCAAGGGATTTGTTTGCTAACGTCATGAGCGTGCACAAAAGAAATATGAAGCACGCTCACGCAATTGACTTTGATTAGACAAATTTACTAGCTATGTTATAGTAAAATTTAAGAACTAATTTGTTGATTGGGAATTCAACATGGATTTAACCTAAAAAACGAGAATATCAAAGAGGTTAAAAATGTGAGAAGGGTCATTGTCAGGAAATTCCTGTGCAGGATCAATTCTTTATAACTTAAAGTCATTTTCTTCGTAAATAAACATCTTTTCGCAACATGGAAATATTCCAATTTTTAGCCGGAACTTGTGTTTACGTAAAAACATCTGTCTCCATGTCAATTTCACGATCACAATATGAAAAAGGTGCCCGACCGAAATTCTACCTGTGAGAAATAATCTAAGTACTAATTGAATAACAAATTGATTGCAGACGCACAACAACATGGGAGCTATTTTTAAGCATCTTTGAGGGCCGGAATCTTCAATCCTCGAAACTTATCGGCTAATCACGCGCTCGTAAACAATCTATCTTTTTACAATAGGGACCACGGTCTGGAATTTTCCACGACACACGCAGCAAAGCAAAGAAAGCAAACTAGCCGAAAAAAAAGTTATTCATTGGTGTATGTTAGTCTGCATGGGAAAAACTGTGCCTTTTGTCTTGATTGCCGCATTCAGCTTTCGGACTTGTTCTATCCTCACTGGAGATCATAAGGACCCCCACCCAACCCCCTGGTAAATAATATGTATCAGAAATTGAATATAAGACATGCTAAAGCACAGGTATAAATTTTGATAGGTTGATAAATATTGCAATGTAATACGAGACCAGATGAGGCAAAAGTATAGAAATTAAGTATATTTAATTACCATTACTACATTTGTTCAGTAACGCTAAGTAAACCAACCATCGCACTTTTTGCTGAAAAATTACCCATGTTTCACAGATATCTGAGTTGTATTTTTCCCCGAACTAATTCCTTCGGGGTTTTAATCAATTTCCGTCTTCAACAGTCTTGTTATCAATTTTTTTTTTAAAAAACGCCTTGTTTTTTTAAATATATTGATCTCATGACTTCTCTTACAGAACCGCTCAGGAATATGCTTGATTGACAGTGTATTCTGGTTTTGATTTGTATAAAAAATCAACGGCAAAACGACAATCGTTTAGTAGAAGTGTCCTTCCCGGAGAACTGAGTCAGAACACAACCAAGGTAGGTTATGGATCGTCTTAGAATGCTAAGCTGATTCAAGTTTAAAAGAACGGAGACCACTTATGCTAAGTCTCTGCCTAAGATGACGAAAGACAATCTTTTGCACAATAACTTCCTCGTTCTTTATGAAACACGGTTGAAAACTTATATACGTTCACGCCCATTCTTCACAGGTTCCAAACTGCGTGAATTCAGACTTGTGGAATCGTTGAAACTTCAAGAAGATTCACGGTATGTACAGTTTCTCTTATAACCGATCGTTCATCACAGAAGCACAGAGGCAAAATATCAAAGAACTGTTCCTTTTGAGCCAAAAAACAAAAGTCAGTTCGAGCCAATTCTCTCAAAACTTAGCAATAAAAAACCTTTATGAGGTTGTTTCTGGTCCAAATTTTTTGTGTTGGTTAGATTCGATCAGTAATCGTTATCATTTAGTGGGGCATGGCGCTCTGGCAGGACTAGTAGGTTTCCTAATATACCAGTAACAGTTCTAAACAGTCATCGATCTTGTCGTTTCAAAAATCCTGACCTTCACCCTCTTTCGCATGTAAAACCTTTACCACATGATCCTCGGAGAAACTGCGAGGAAAACTCTTAGAACAAAATCTGCTGTAAGAAAAACGGGGTTTTATCTTGAGAATTTAAAGATTATCTGAATTTGATGAATTCACTTCCTCTGTCATCCACGCCCGTTACTGCTTTAATGAGTCGGTTCATTTCCTTTATCACTCCTATGATTACAGAACTAATTAATTGGGCTTCCACTCAGTTCTACCACCATTACTTATGGTTGATTTAACCAAAACCCGATCCACGGATGTAACATTATGTTTGAATGGGATAATATTATAAATTCTACCTCATTTTTGTCTCTCTGTAGATATTTGCTAAACATGAGAAACTTGGTCATTTTGTTGATTTTCGTGAGCTGTGCATTGTCTGTGGCGGCTGGTAAGTGCAGAACGAAGCTCAAAATTCTTTCAAGTGACTCATGCGAAGGAGGAGAGATTGTGAGCTGGAGTTGGTTGGTTACAGCTCCTCCCCTCATGAAAACTTTCTACATTGGAGAGTGGTGGGGCGTGATGTAGGAAACTATAGTCAGCTCGGATCCAAGGCTAGGGTTCGCCACATTATGCTCGATATGTTACACTATTTAGTGAATTCTTAATGTTCAGAAAATGTCACGATTACGCTCAGTTAGCATCACTTTTGTGTTGCATTACAAGCAATATGAGAACTTCCAGAACTGCTGGAAGCCATTTTTTTTGCTTCTTTGTAACCAGGCCTGGCCTCGATTTCATTCTTTATTACTTTTTGTTTGCTTTTTCAGTTTTGTCCTTTTTTTTGTACTTTTTTTTTATGCTAGATGCTTGATTATTTTTCCTCGCTGTTAAACTCAAAATTATGCTTGAAGTGGAACACTCTAACTAAGGCCCTGACTGATAGCAAGGGATTTGAATCTATTGCTGATAGTAAGTGAAGGGAGAGGTAAACGAGCAAAGAAGAATGACTGGTAAAATCGTTGCTTTCCTAACGAAAGACTGCCATATTGATTTTTTCCAAAAGAAGCAAGGAAATATTATTCAAAGGGACATGTTAAAGAAATCTGACTCACGGAATTCTTTAGGAGTGAGTTTATGTTTTCATTGCCTTACTTTTTTTCCGTCAGCTTGCAAGGATAAAAACAAAAATTGTAAATCATGGGCATTGAGCGGTGAATGCAAAAAAAATCCAAAGTTCATGGTGATCAATTGCCCCAAAAGTTGCACAATCTGTCCAGGTATGCATGATACTCAAGAAGTGAAAAAGATTACCCGTAACGTTTTAAAGTTTTTTGAGAATAGATCCATGTAATGCTTTTTTCTCTCTTTCTTGTGCTTACATTTTGATTATGCTGCCAATTCATATACACTAATGGGCATTCCCTGACTTTTCAATCAGAGCGTTATTCTTCAAAAAAACGTTCAAGCTCTTTCCCCTCCACCCCCCCCCCCCCTTTCTTCTCCTTCCCCGACGGCCTCCTCTACATAACTGTTAGCTTTCTTTGTAGTCAAGATGCAAGTTCAGCGTTAAATTTGGGTGATTTTTGTAAAGACATCAAAGCAAAAAGACCTTTTGCGTTTATTAGCGCATGCCACATACCACAATGGGTGAATTCTCGTTGAATTTAATTGCAACCCTCTGCACAGTCCCTCGTAATTACAGCTCTTCTCCTCACTGAAATGACTTACATGGGAATTAATTCACAAGGAACGATTGGGGAGGCGAAATTAAGAAAAAAAAAAAGGTCCGGCAGCACGGGTGACCAGGCATGAAGAGATCCTAATTCAGAAGAATGTGATTCAAAGGAATGTGATTCAAACAGAAATGTTGATGAAATCTGGTAAGATGAAGCGATGCACTTACATGTTATTGCTTTACTTTTTTTCCGTCAGGTTGCAAAGATAAAAACAAAAATTGTAAATTCTGGGCATCGATCGGTGAATGCGGAAAAAATCCAAATTTCATGCTGTTCAATTGCTCCAAAAGTTGCGGAGTCTGTCCAGGTATGCATGATGCTCAAGAAGTGAAATAGATTACCCATAACGTTACAAAAATTTGCGATAATAGATCCATGTAATGCTTTTTCTCCCTTTCTTGTGCTTACATTTTGATTCTGCTGCCAATTCATCTATACCAATGGGCATTCCCTGACTTTTCAATCATAGTGTTATTCTTCAAAAAACGTTCAAGCTCTTTCCCCTCCACCCCTCCCCCCCTCTCCTCTACTCCTTCCCCGACGGCCTCCTCCACATAACTGTTAGCTTTCTTTGCAGTCAACATGCCAGTTCATCATTAAATTTAAGTGATTCTTGTGAAGACATCAAAGAAAAAAAAAGACCTTTGCGTTTATCAGCGCATGCCATATACCACAATGGGTGAGTTCTCGTTGAATTTAATTGCGACCCTCTGTATAGGCCCTTGTATAATTACAGCTCTTTCACTCACTGAAACGAATTACATAGGAATTAATTCACAAGGAACGAGTAGAGAGGCGAGATTAGGAAAAAAGAAAAGGTCCGGCAGCACGGGTGACCAGGCATGAAGAGATCCTGATTCAGGGGAATACGATTCAAACAGAAATGTTGATGAAATCTGATAAGATTACGCGATGCACTTACATTTACACTGCTTTACTTTTTTCCTTTCAGTTTGTAAGGATAAAGTCAAAGGTTGTAAATCTAAGGCAGCAAACAGTGAATGCACGAAAAACAAAAATTACATGAAGCGTAATTGCCCCAAAACTTGCCGCTTCTGTTAGGTAAGCATGTGCACAAGTAATCGTTTAAAAAATCAAATACATTAGCGGAAACTTTAAAACGTTTTAAAAATGTGTGTTTTGTGTCTCATTTAATTCGCTTAGTTATTTATATGTGGTGATGAGCATTCTTTTCTTAAAAAAAAACAAACAAACAAAACAATAAAAAAAAAAATGAAATCACAGAGGTTTATCTCTCTTGACAAAAAGTGCGATTTGTCACCCTGTCCGTAATAACAGCTGTCTTCTTAAATTCATAAATGTGGCTCAAATGGTTTTTTAAAATGGCTTTCGTAATGGGGAAAAAGACCAATGAGAATGGATTAGGAGGATCTCCCCCCTTTTCGTATTTAAATTGAGAGGTCTCTAATGAGATAACAAGGTGTTCAAAAGGAAAACGATGGCAGCGGTAGGAGGAATTTCCAATTTCAAGAAAAATTGACTTAAATAGAGGTGAAACTTCTAAAATGCAGTTCAACTATGGTACAAATATTTGCCTTTGGTTAATCATTGTGGTGTTTTTTTTCTTATTACAGGATCAAAATAAAACCTTCTGACCTGTCTTCTTCCGGATCAGATGGAAAAGATTTGAGGCAGTAGTATCATTTTTCTTGCATGATTTGGGTTGGGTGAAGGAATGAGCTGGGTTGCTAATGTAAGGGGTTTTTTCGCTGTGCTTATTGCCGAATTTTAAGCCTCGTTATCTGGAAAATAAACAAATGATCAACTCAAAGTCTGTGGTAGATTCTCTTTGTTATTAACAACCATTTCTTAATCAACCCAAGGGATAAATTGGTTGAAAATGAAAAATAGGCCGCGCTGATATGACATTTTAACTTAAACCGACCATTTTTTTTATCTACCTACGGACGCGATGGCCCAATAGGCAGTGCGCTGGATTTCGTTTCGAGAGGTCTGGGTTCGAGACCTGACCGGGTATTGTGTTGTGTTCCTGAGCAAAACACTTCATTCTCACAGTGCCTCTATCCACCCAGGAGTATAAAAGGGCACCGAATAATTATTAAGAAAGACTGATGAAATGCTGGGGGGTAATCTCGCGTACTAGCATCCCATCATGCCAAGGGAACCGAGTTAAACTATAGCTTGGTTGGCCACGTGACTCGAATACAGACATTTTTTACCCACCTGCATCTATGAAATACATTTTTGAGTCAAATTCATAGCTGTTTCACAGTTCTATTTTCATATTTTCTTTACGAATTTACCAAACTAATGATATCATATCAAGAAATTGATGACTTTACAAAATTAAATTACTTATCTACTCTGAAAGACCGGCGAATTGTTCAAATAAAATAAACATTCCGAAAATCAATGTTTTTTTTCAATGTGAATGCAAAACAAACGCGAGACTACGCAAACGTTATTAATTGGGCTAAATGAAAAGCAAATTATCACAGAAATATAAAAGATTAATTGCCTTTTGGTTTTCTGGATAAAGCAATAATGAAATGGCTTAATACGTGCAACAGATTGAAGGTCAGTGAATAATGATTATTCAAAAACGAAACTTCTCTCCAGCAATAGTTTACGCAACACCAAGAAAAACCATAAGGTCGAACTCGTAGATTGAACCAGTTAACAAGACAGTGTTTTTCTCACTTCCATGGGCCGTTACGCCTAACGACTAGTAGGAGAGTAAAAGCAGGCTCAGTCCAAATAATGAAAAGAACTGAAATTAAAATGGCACTTATTTAAGGTATCTTAAGAAGGCTATACCGTTACCATAGCTACCAAATAAATGATCGAAAATTGAGGGTTACGGGAGATTCTGCGACCGCACAAAAATATTCATTTTTTTATTGATGTGCCACTCGAAATTCGCTCAACCTTGTAAACGCACTTTCTTTTTTCCGAAAGCTCCTGAAACAAAATTTGTCGTAAATCAGAATCACAGGAAACCCTATTTCTTACGTGCAGACGCTAAAAAAATAAGTCCTCCATTGCAATTTAAGTGTTGGCTTCCTCTACGAGCAAAAGTCATGTTTCGTCGTAGAGGATTTGGTCTGTTTGACTTATTCAGTTTTAGAAAGAAGAGGAACTGAGTTGAGCTATGAAGTAAGCTATCGCGCGAAGAAGAAACTGCGGTGCTGCGTCGATGGGGTGGGTTCGGTGGACGTTTCGAGCGTTAGTCCTTCACTCTGGAGGGATGGTAGCAGTCAAATTTGGTAAGTTTTCATTTCCAACATACGTGAATGTTTGTTTCCATCGCATCCCCCTTCACTGCAAACGTAGATTTAGAAGAAAGCCAACGTTTATACCACAGTTTAAGTCGAATCTATGACGTAATAACACGTTTCGATTCAAAGAACAATCAAGAATTCTAATGTCAGAGGAAAGAAAGTAACGGAATATTTTGATTTTCAGAATTTATTTCCTCTTTCTGTGCGGGAAAGGGGGTGGGGTGAGGTTGAATCAATTCAACCGAGAGATGGGAATGTCGGTCCAATGGTAAAAGTGCCCATTTTTCGTTTATACAGGTGCATTTTAGTAGATCCTGGGTTAAATGTTTGGCAGGGTAATTTTTAATTTGAGGCTAAAGAATAAGGCTTAAACCCCTTTAGCTGTGACAGCTAGAAGCGGAACCTTTTTGTGATAATGTTTCGTCAGTATGACCTTGACGTCTGCAAATTTAATTTTTGCTGTATTATGATCTAAAGGTCGGGAACTGATTAAGGACAAAGATAAACAAGTACGTTCCTGAGTGAGGTGGTTAAATAACAGTAGCTGACTTACATATGTGTTCACTATACACGTGATTATTTATTGATTCATTTTGAAATAAAGTCTTGAGATAAAGTTGTCGCACGAAAGTTTCGTTTTTATCATTAGTAGGTTGTGGTTGTGAGTCATTTTCAACCGTGTTGAGATATCGTATAACTTCACTCTCCTCACTACTCTACACTCTCTTTCCTTAGTCAACCAAATAAAGGGGTAATAATGATTTACAAGGAAACGAGGATTGCAAACAACTTGGAGAGTCTTACAGTGAGGACACTCGAACCGTGAATGCTTGATTCTTCTTTCTGCCTCTTTTTGATGATTATCCAATAAGAGCTCTTAAAATAGACAAAAGAATTCGCAATTTTTGTAGCACTGTCTAATCACATCATTGACGGGAAAATATAATTTTAATTTTTTTCAAATCAACGTCTCGGGTGATTCGGCTGAACATTTTTTTAGCTTGGAATGGCCTTTGTGCCCATAAATTAGGCTGGTAAGTTCAATTTGGCTCACTGACTTCGAGCAGTTTTTTGGGTTTCTGATGGTGCGCAGAGTTTTTTATTTCATTTTCGCAAAGGTGAATGCAAACTAAGTGTCAGTCGACAGCAAGGAATATACGATAATGGTAAGGCTCTGCCACAAGGCTACCGGGAAAGAGTACTTGACTTGCATCATCGAGGCTTATCGCAAAGGCAAATTACACAAAACATGCGACTTAGCGTGGGGTATGTAAATAAAGTTGTTCAATTCTACGAAAGACACTAACTCCTCCTTGGCTCCACCGCTGAAAACACCGGTTCGGAATAAGTTGTCAGCCACTATTGTTGAATATTTGGAACCAAGAAATTAAGAAAACCTACTGTGTATACAAGTGAGCTTCAACAGCGTCTCTTACTGCATGGAATTTCTCCCCCTGGTCATTTGCCATCTCAGTCAGGAATAAAAAAGTGCATTCGGGAAGACTGTAGAATGACACGGAAAAAGATTTCCCAAGTACCCAAAGAGTCATTGTCACAAGCAAATACGGACTATACCGATTATTTTCTCGAACAAATTGGACATATTTTTTGGATTAATTTAGTGTTATTGTAAAATCAGGAAATCGAGTGTACGGTAATTCCTACATTGGTGAACCTGCGATTGAAATTCAGCGCTACGCCTCCAACGTAAACTAGACGCTGAACTTGCTTCATTCCGCCACTGGAGTGGATTACTTTGATGTTTTGACAGACCCCTTATCGGAAAGTTCCTCTATTAACGAAACAACAGCTGCTCTATCCGCGACGGTCATCTTGTTTTCGTTTTCAAATTTAGCGCGCGATTCCGTTGACGCGCTCTACGATTTCGCGCCAGCTGTCATGGTAACTGATCTGATGAACTAAAGGTGTGTTCCTTTGGGAGGATCCGGATTAGGATTTGCGACCCAAGATCGCTCAGATCACGGGTGCATCAAAGGAACAGAGCTTTAGTTCATCAGAGAAAAAAAAAAAACGAAAACAAGATGGCCGTCGCGGATAGTGCAGCTGTTGTTTCGTTAATAGAGGAACATACAATATACATTTTTCCTACGCTGCTTAGACCAATCTTTATATTTTTATTCTATTGTTTTTATTATGTCCCCGGAAAGCCATTCCAAGGACACTCGTCCTGTACTCATTGCTTTATTATAATCTTCCATTTGTTGGGTTAGACGTCCCTGACGATATGGCGCCTGAAGATGAATCCGGAGGGGATAAGCAGGGTCGCCAAAAACGCACATAGGTTGGTCAGCTGAGGAAAAGGCGAAGTTCCCCATGTCGTTCAGAAGCCCAGAGTCAGCAAGCATACTTGCGTCATGTTTTCGTCCCTCTGAAACAAAAGTTCATTAAAAACAAGAAACTGGTCCTGGAAAATATCGAATCATATCGCTGAATCTACAGGGATAACTTGTTCGTCTCAGTAGCACACACAGTTCCTCCAAACCATCAAAAATGCTTCTCTGTTTGCAATGGAACACTACGGGAATCTGCAAGGCGAGGAAGTTCTGCCTTTTCAACTCGAAAGCGGGCCTTTCAGTCAGCTGAATTCATTTTTTCTTGATCGAAAACATGATACGATTGATAGCCGAAATCTGGATTTTTTTTAACAATAACTGTCGCATAATGGAACAAATTCTTCGTCCGAAATGTTGTTGTCTGCATTGATAAGCAAAAGTATCTCTCGACAAGTCTTAGATTTGTTTATTTTTAAAGAACCCGGCAAGTTGCTGTCGGAAAATGAAGGGTGCTAAAGGTTTATATCAGGGACCTTAAGCAGTCAGGACGGCAACGCCATGGAAGATGTCGATTGAAAAAATGAATTTCTGCCTTTAATTAGAATTTCGAAAATGGCTGCCTGTAGTTACTGTCTCATACGGCGCCACACCTCAACTTCAGCATCACGTAGGAAGGAAGTGTTGAGTTCCTAATGGAAATTAAAATAATTTGCCGTCGCGGTTTCTGTTCGTAGACGACGCAAGTTGTGATGATTTCACGTTGCTGTTTTGCACGGGACGGCTAAGAAATGTACAAAGTTATGAAACGCACGTGCTGAGCTATTGTTCTGCCAATTAGATCTTTTTTTTTTCGTGTCCTCGTTGCCGTCGCCATCGTGGTTTGCTTTTTTTGGCGGGAAAAACGCCGTCCTCACCTCAGTCTCTTTCGTCCACCGACGTCGCCGTCGTTATGAAAGTTCTCGGTGCTTAAGGTCCCTATTAGCAGCTTGTCAGGGAACGGGAAGAAGGAGTCCAAATCCTCCGTTTTAACTGACGCAAGAGACCTTCGCCAACGGAAACCCTTTGTTTCAAATTGTAGCGAAAGTCTTTCCAATTTCATTCCCGGGAAGAAGGATTTTAGCCAACAGAAAACTTCGCTTCTGTCAGCCATTAATTACTCTTACCTGATTCAACATATATAAAATGAGTGCGCCCCGACATGAAGTGAGCTTGTGATTAGATGATGACAAAAAGGCAAAAAAAAAAAAAGTCTAGGTGTTCATGGTTCGATTGTCCTCGCTCTAAACTTTGGAAGACATCGTGACATGCGTAACTTCACATTCGTGGCTAAGTAAGATTTAAAATATACAAAGGGGGTAAGTTTCTAAAGAAACTGTGATGCTGCGTCGGTAGGAGAGTATAACAGGGTAATTTAGTATGATCAACTGAGTTGATGAGTAGATTGGCCATCGTAAAGAGTTTAAAAGCAGGCGTTTCGAGCGTTAGCTCTTCGTCCATTGCTCTGACGAAGGTCTAACACTCGAAATGTCAGCTTTCGAACTCTTTACAGTGGCCAATTTACGTCATCAACTAAGTTGATAATACTAAATTACCTCAAGTAATATTTCAGATGGATTTAAATGTTTTAGATGGAAACTGAGTTCTCTGCAAGCAGCAACAGTTTTGAATGATTTTATCAGGCAAGAGTTGTCCTTTACGCAGGCGGATATTCATCTAACGAGCTGATCTTCAATGCAAAGGGATCAAACAAACATAACTAGTTCGATTTAAATCGACTGAAGAACGAACCCTGGTCTGATATCCAAACAGAATCGCTGACCTTATCGTTATCGCTCCAATTCCCGAATATGGCGACAGCTTTATTATCAACAGCGTGTACAATGGATGTCTTGCTGATGATGAATGGATGGTGGCAGCAGAATCGAAGTGAATCACAACGGAACTGCCTTCCACTGGAACAGATGAATAATATTTCAAAGTTCAAGCCTAATAATCTGGAAAATAAATCAAATAATCAATTTCAAAGGCTGTGATCAACTCTATTTGTAGCTTACAACTCTTCTCATCATCAAAATGAATATAACGTAAGGACTTCCATTAGCTTAGAACGAGAAGATTTGAATTTTCTTGGCCTCTCATGATATAGACTAAAGGACGGTTCCATATAATTTAGAAAAAATTTATTAAAGTTCACACGGCAACCAGGTGGACAATCAGACATAGTGTGATGCTACACTGGTTTGCAGATTTAATGAATGTAACCGAAGAAGTTACAATTCATAGACCCAACGTTTCGACACTCCTTCATCAGGGGTGATCTAAACGCTGCAACAAGAGGTCCTTTTATATGATCACTAATTAGCGGCCTTTTTTCTGACGAGGTGTAAATAAGCGTCAGGAAACAGACCGCCATCGTCACGATTTAAAGGAGCGTGGGCGGAGTTAATGTGCCAAGCCTCCAAACAAAGGCGCTGGTGGTAACGCCGATTAGTGGTGATAATTTTAGAATTATCCCACCCAATTGTATGGTTGGTTAGGCAAGTATGCTCCGATAAAGCTGAATTTTCCTTTTTGCAAAGAAAAACCGCTTTTTTGGTGCTCTTTTAAACATCTTTGCGGGCCGGAATCTTTAATCCTCGAAACTTTATACTCGCATAAACATATTGTACTCTTCTTTTGAAAAATTGTAAGGCCTATAGTTCATTTAAAAAACTATACAGGTGTTTAAACTTTTTGAAAGTTCATATTCATTAAAAAAATGATGCTCAATGATTTTATTAATATCAAAACTATTTTGGTTTACTGAATTGAGCCAAGAAGTTAAAAAAAGACTCGCTGACTTTTAAAAGTTATTCATCGGTCAAGGTTGGTCTGTATGGGAAAAACTGTGCCTTATGTCTTGAGTGCGACCCTCATCTTTCGGCCAAGCTCTATCCTCACTAAAGACCATAAGGATCCCCACTTACTCCCCTGGTAAATAACAAGTATTATTGTTTTTTTAGAGGGCACGGTAACGAATCCTGCAATCTGATTGGTTCTTTACCCGGTCAGTATTTTTCTTATCTCTGCCCACGGGCCACGGTAACGCTTTCGTGAATCGCCGAGTACATCCCAACTTTCGTTGTCATTTTTCATAAATATACCTCGTTTTCCGGCTGGGCAGTATTTTAAAGCAAACAAGTCGGTCACTACCTCAAGCCGATAAATAACTTATGAATCCTCTCTTTTCTCTCTCTCAAATCACTTTGGTTGACAGAAAAATATTTGTTTCAGAATGAATTTGTATAAACAATAGTGTCATTACGTTGGTTGACAAGCGGCCTAAAAACTGTCTGCAATTAATTTTAATCGTTCACAAAAAGTACCCAGAAAGTTAAAACGTGAGGTATTTGATTACAGTTAAACTGAACGATGGAACTTTAATTTAATATCTGAATTTTCTCGAGAAAATTGTTAGTAGAGAAAGAGCGAGCAAAGTTTTAATTTAAGTTCTACAACAAATATAGGCTCCCGGTGAGTCTTTCCAATTCCGTTCAATTTGGACATTTGTACCATAAATTACACAACAGAAACTGAAGGAATTTTTTGAGAAAAGGCCGCATTAAATTCCCTTGTGTCTCGTTGGAGTGTGCCGTTCGAATTTAGTTTTTGTGAAGGACAGACCAGATTTACACACGCCATTGCAGCAAACAAACGAGCGAACTCTCACAACTTCAAAATAAAAAAGTTGAATTTACTCACAATTACTTTCCTCGCCGTTTACTTAATGAACAGAGGTAAATCTTCGTACATGAATGAATCGTCGATGAGAGTGAATAATACTTTCCGTTAGATTATTGACTGATTTTGAAGAAAACATTGTCGTGACAGTCCTTGCCAAACTAGTTCCGTTGTTTTTCAAATGCTCTTATGCTTTTTTGTTTCTTACGCGCTCTCTAATTGACAGGTGTCAGATTGTGACAGATACTTGTAAAAATAATGTTTCAAAGTTTGTTTGGAAGCCTTTTAAATCACCTTTATCGTTACGGAAATGAAAATGTTTCGCTGAGGCATCTCTCTTTAATTTGCTTCACCTCTATTTTAACTACCATTTACTCGCTCAAAAATTGTTCAGTTTATGGAAGATCTTGCCGTATTAACAGCCCTAAATCATTCGGGTTCTTTCGGAGAGAATTTCGTCAAGTTTAAAAACAATAAATATGTTATTTACCGGCTAAGGGTCGGTCCGTATGGTGAAAAACTGTGACCTCGGTCTTGAAAATGCTGCCCTCGGCCTACGGCCTCGGGCAGTATTTTCAAGACCTCGGTCACAGTTTTTCACCATACGGACCTCCCAGCCGGCAAATAACATATATTTAGAAATTGACTGTAATAGCAGCTAAACCACAAGTATGACTTCTGATAAGTTAATCAATATTGCGACCAGATAAGACAAAAATATAGTCTTACTTCAGAAAGGGAGGCTTCAGAAATAATCAATAAAGCAATTAAATATATTTAATATTGAGTAATAAACGTTGATATAACTTTTCAGTATTACTGCACTTGTTCAGTAAATATGTTGATGTCATAGCTTCCTTTACAGAACCGCCTTGGAATATATTTGATTGACAGTGTGTTTCAATTGAATAACAAATCATGGTCACAGGCGCACAGCAATATGGGAGCTGTTTATTGAATTTAATGCAAGACCAGCTATGACATAATTATCATTCTGAGAGGCTCCAAAAATAAACAATATTACTTTTTTTAAGCATCTTTGCGGGTCGGAATCTTTAATCTTCGAAACTTATTGGCTAATCGTGCGCTCGAAAAAAATCCAACTTTTCACAATACGGACCACGGTCTGGAATTTCCATGTCACTCGCAGCTAAGCAAAGAAAGCAAACTAGCCGAAAAAAGAGTTATTCATCGGTCAAGGTTGGTCTGTATGAGAAAAACTGTGCCTTTTGTCTTGAGTGCGACCCTCATCTTTCGGCAGAGCTCTATCCTCACTAAAGACCATAAGGATCCCCACTTACTCCCCTGGTAAATAACAAGTATTAGAAATTGACTGTAATAGCAGCTAAACCACAAGTATGACTTCTGATAAGTTAATCAATATTGTGACCAGATAAGACAAAAATATAGTCTTACTTCAGAAAGGGAGGCTTCGGAAATAATCAATAAAGCAATTAAATATATTTAATATTAAGTAATAAACGTTGATATAACTTTTCAGTATTACTGCACTTGTTCAGTAAATATGTTGATGTCATAGCTTCCTTTACAGAACCGCCTGGGAATATATTTGATTGACAGTGTGTTCCGGTTTTGGTTTGTATAAAAAATCAACAGCAAAACGACAATCGTTTAGTAGAAGTGTCCTTCCCGGAGAATTGAGTCAGAACACACCCAAGGTAAGTTATGGTTCGTCTTAGAATACTAAAGTGATTCACGTTTATAAGAACAGAGACCACATTTACTGAAAAAACTTTGTGCTTCCCTTCTCTAACTGCAAAGTGTCTGCCTAAGATGACGAAAGACATTCTTTTGCTCAATAACATCCTCATTCATTGTGAAACACGATTGAAAACTTATACCTGTTCACACACATTCTTCATTGGTTTCAAACTGCGTGATTTCAGACTTGTGGAATCTTTGGAAAAGGATCGTTGAAACTTCAAGAAGATTCACGGTACGTACAGTTTCTCTTATAACCGATGGTTCATCACAGAAGCACCGAGGCAAAATATCAAAGAATTGTTCAACAAAGTCAGTTCGAGCCAATTCTCTCAAAACTGAGCAAAACAAAACATTTTAATGTTTGTTTCTGACCCAAGCTTTATGTGTTTGTTAGATTCGATCAGTATTCATTATCATTTGGTGGGGCATGATGCTCTGGCAGGACTATTAGGTTTCCTAATATACCAGTAACAGTTACAAGCTCATGGATCTTTTCGTTTCAAAAATCCTGACCTTTACTCTGTTTCGTATGTAAAACCTTTACCATATGATCCTCGAAGAAACCGCGAGGAAAACTCTAAGAACAAAATCTTCTGTTAGAAAAACAAGTTATTATCTTACTTGAGAATTTCAATATTATTTGAATTTGATGAAATCGCTTCTTCTACCATCCACGCCCGTTACTGCTTTAATAAGTCATCCATTTGGTTATCACTCCTTTGATTACAGACTTAGTTCCACTCAGTTGTATCACCATTACTTATGGTTGATTTAACCAAACCCCGATCCGCGGATGTAACGTTATGTTTGAATGGGATAAAATTATAAATTCTATCTTATTTTTGTCTCTCTGTAGATATTTGCTAAACATGAGAAACTTGGTCATTTTGTTGATTTTCGTGAGCTGTGCATTGTCTGTGGTGGCTGGTAAGTGCAGAAGGAAGCTCAAAATTCTTTCAAGTGACTCTGAATGCGAAGGAGGAGAGACTGTGAGCTGGATTTGGTTGGTTACAGCTCCTCCCCACATGAAAACTTTCTACATTGGAGAATGGTGGGGCGTGATCTAGGAGACTTTAGTCAGCTCGGTGACCAAGGCTACGGTTCGCCAAATTATGCTCGATATGTTACACTATATAGTGAATTCTTAATGCTCAGAAAATGTCACGATTACGCTCAGTTAGCATCACTTTTGTGTTGCATTACAATTAATATGAGAACTTCTGGAACTGCTGGAAGCCATTTTTTTGCTTCTTTGTAACCAGGCTTGGCCTTGTTTTATAGTACCTGGCTAATTTGTAACTAGGCCTAGTCTTAAAGTTTAAAAATGCATCATTCTCTATTACTTTCTACTTACGTTTACTATTTCAGTTTTGTACATTTTTGTACCATTTTTTTTAAGCATAAATGCTTGATGTTTTTCCTCGCTGTTAAGCTCAAAACTATACTGGCATTAAGTAGAACACTCTAACCAAGGCCCTGACTGATAGCATGTGATTTGAATCTATTGCTGATAGTAAGTGAAGGGAGAGGTGAACGAGCAACGAAGAATGCCAGGTAAAATCGTTGATTTCCTGACGAAAGACTGCCATATTGATTTTTTTTCCAAAAGAAGCAAGGAAAATATTATACAAAGAGAAATGTTAAAGAACTCTGACTCTTAGCATTGAGTTCATGTTTTCATTGCCTTACTTTTTTTCCGTCAGCTTGCAAGGATAAAAACAAACATTGTAAATCCTGGGCATTGAGCGGTGAATGCAGAAAAAATCCAAAGAGCATGGTGATCAATTGCCCCAAAAGTTGCACAATCTGTCCAGGTATGCATGATGCTCAAGAAGTGAAATAAATTAACCATAACGTAAAAAAATTTGCGATAACAGATGCATGTAATGCTTTTTTTTCTCTCTTTCTTGTGCTTATGTTTTGATTCTGCTGCCAATTCATACACACCGATAGGCATTCCCTGACTTTTCGATCATAGTGTTATTCTCTAAAAAAAAGTTCAAGCTCTTTCCCCTCCACCCCCTCCTCCCCCTTTCTTCTCCTTCCCCGACGGCCACCTCTTTATAACTGTTAGCTTTCCTTGTAGTCAACAAACATGCCAGTTCAGCATTAAATTTGGGTGTTTTGTGTAAAAATATCAAAGCAAAAAGACCTTTTGCGTTTATTAGCGCATGCCATATACCACAATTGGTGAGTTCTCATTGAATTTAAATGCAAGCCTCTGTATAGGTTCTTGTAAAATTACAACTCTTTCTCTCACTGAAACGACTTACATGGGAATAAATTCACAAGGAACGAGTGGGGAGGCGAAATTAGGAAAAAAAGAAAAAACGGTCCGGCTGCACGGGAAACCAGGCATGAAGAGATCCTGATTCAGGGGATTATGATTCAAACAGAAATGTTGATGAAATCTGATAATATTAAGCGATGCACTTACATGTATATTGCTTTACTTTTTTTTCCGTCAGCTTGCAAGGATAAGAACAAACATTGTAAATCCTGGGCATCGACCGGTGAATGCGGAAAAAATCCAAAGTACATGCTGTTCAATTGCTCCAAAAGTTGCGGAGTCTGTCCAGGTATGCATGATGCTTAAGAAGTGAAATAGATTACCCATAACGTTACAAAAATTTGCGATAATAGATCCATGTAATGCTTTTTTCTCCCTTTCTTGTGCTTACATTTTGATTCTGCTGCCAATTCATCTACACCAATGGGCATTCCCTGACTTTTCAATCATAGTGTTATTCTTCAAAAAACGTTCAAGCTCTTTCCCCTCCACCCCTCCCCCCCTCTCCTCTACTCCTTCCCCGACGGCCACCTCTACATAACTGTTAGCTTTCTTTGTAGTCAATATGCCAGTTCAGTGGGTTATTTGTGTAAAGACATCAAAGCAAAAAGACCTTTTGCGTTTATTAGCGCATGCCATATACCACAATGGGTGGGTTCTCGTTGAATTTAATTGATATCCTCTGTGTAGGCCCTCGTATAATTACAGTTCTTTCTCTCACTGAAACGACTTACATGGGAATAAATTCACAAGGAACGAGTGGGGAGGCGAAATTAGGAAAAAAACGGTCCGGCAGCACAGGTGACCAGGCATGAAGAGATCCTGATTCAGAGAAATGTGACTCAAAAAGAAATGTTGATGAAATCTGATAAGATTAAGCGATGCACTTACATGGATATTGCTTTACTTTTTTTCGTCAGCTTGCAAGGATAAGAACAAACGTTGTAAATTCTGGGCATCGACCGGTGAATGCGGAAAAAATCCAAAGTACATGCTGCCCAATTGCTCCAAAAGTTGCGGCAAGTGTTAGGTATGCATGCGCACAAATAATCGTTTAAAAAATCAAATAGATTAGCGTAAACCTTAAAATGTTTTGAATTGTTGTGTTTCTTATCAATGATATGTTTAATTCTCTTACTAATGTACGTGTAGTGATGAGCATTCTTTTCTTTTAAAAAGTCACAGAGGTTTATCTCTCTCTCGGAAAAAGTGCGATTTGTCACCCTGTCCGTCTTACCAGCTGTCCTCTTAAATTCATCAATGTGGCTCAAATGGTTTTTAAATGGCTTTTATAAAAGGGAATAATCCTAGCTGCATGCTTCATGCTAGGGAAACCTGCCCATGGGCAACTTGGGCCTGTATAAAGGCTTTTTAATGAGATACGAAGGAGTTCAAAAGGAAAACGAGGACAGTGGTAGGAGAAATTTCCAATTTCAAGAAAAATTTACTTAAATGGGTGGAACTTTGAAAATGCAATTCAGCTATAGAACAAACCTTAGCCTTTGGTGAATCACGGTGGTGTTTTCTTTTTTTTTTCTTATTGCAGAATCGAAGTGAAACACATCTAACCTGTCTTCCTCCGGATCAGATGGATAATATTTGAGCCAGTAGTCTTATTTTGCAGCATAATTTGGATTGGGGGAAGGAAAATGCTGGGTTCCTAATGTAAGAGTTTTTCATTCGCTGTGCTTATTGTAGAATTTCAAGCCTCGTTATCTGGAAAATAAAACAAATGATCAACTCAAAGACTGTGGTTGATTCTCTTTGTTATTAGCAACCATTTCTTAATTAACCCCAAGAGGTTCAAAACAAGGAAAGACGAAGGGGAAGGGACAAATTGTTTGAAAATGAAAAATAGGTCGCGTTGATATGGCAGTTTAACTTGAAACGACCATTTTTTTTATCTACCTACGGACGCGATGGCCCAATAGGCAGTGCACTGGATTTCGTTTCGAGAGTCCTGGGTTCGAGATCTGACCGGGTTTTGTGTGGTGTTCCTGAGCAAAACACTTCATTCTCACAGTGCCTCTATCCACCCAGGAGTATAAAAGGTACCGAGTAATTATTAGGAAAGACTGATGAAATGCTGGGGGTTATCTCGCGAGTACTAGCATCCCATCATGCCAAGAATCTGCAAGGCGAGGAAGTTCTGCCTTTTCAACTCGAAATTGGGCCTTTCAGTCAGCTGAATTCATGTTTTCTAGATCGAAAACATCATACGATTGATAGCCGAAATCTTGATTTTTTGAACAATAACTGTCGTATAATGGAACAAATTCTTCGTCCGAACTGTTGTTTTCTGCATTGATAAGCAGAAGTATCTCTCGACAAGTCTTAGATTTGTTCATTTTTAAAGAACTCGACAAGTTGCTGTCGGAAAATGAAGGGTGGTAATGGTTTATATCAGGGACCTTAAGCAGTCAGGACGGCAACGCCATGGAAGATGTCGATTAAAAAATGAATTTCTGCCTTTAATTAGAATTTCGAAAATGGAAGCGTGTAGTTACCGTCTCATACGGCAACACACTTCAACTTCAGCATCACGTAGGAAGGAAGTGTTGAGTTCCAAATGGAAATTAAAATAATTTGCCGCCGCGGTTTCTGTTCGCAGACGACGCGAGTTGTGGTAATTTCACGTTGCTGTTTTGCATGGGACGGGTAAGAAATGTACAAAGTTATGAAACGCACGTGCTAAGCTATTGTTCTGCCAATTGTGTCCTCGTTGCCGTCGCCATCGTGGTTTGCTTAAGGTCCTTAACGTTTTTGGCGGGAAAACGCCGTCCTCGCCCCAGTCTCTTTCGTCCAACGACGTCGCCGTCGCTATGAAAATTCTCGGTGCTTAAGATCCTTATTAGCAGCTTGTCGGGGGATGGGAAGAAGGAGTCAAAATCCTCCGTTTTAACTGACGCGAGAGACCTTCGCCAACGGAAACCCTTCGTTTCAAATTGTAGCGAAAGTCTTTCCAATTTCACTCCCGGGGAGAAAGATTTTCATTACAACTCCATAGCGGATTAAATGTGAACCTCAAAAATTGAGGTTGTTAATATAAGTATTCATATATTCAGGCTATTGTTCTTTCTCATTACTTATTCATTCCGATGAGTTTGCCGACATGCCGGCATGCTTCCGAAGATCGTGAAGAGCGCAACTGCAACTTCTTTGATGTAGGTGAGATATTTTTCTTTTGTTAACAGATGAAATAAACTCTCCCGGGAATCTGCTTGATTGATGTCTAATAATTGCTACGCGTTCCGGTGTGTTGGGCAACATGTCGAAGACATCAACCTCGGATCAAACCAAAGCACTTATCAGCTTACATGTCTTTTCAAGCCAACACTAAACTCCATCGCGACAATAAGCAACACGGTCAGATCACAACAAGTTCATTCGAACAAGACGAAAGTTGTGAAAGAATGAACCGCCAGCGCGCGAACACGAGCACTATTTATGACACGCAATATTTACATAATAAAGAAGTAGTTTAATTCAAGTGCACTCATTCGGATCAAAACAAAACGATCGGCGCTCGAAATGATAAACTATTTTCGCTTTTGCTCTTCGCAGTGATTACAACAACTCGTCCAAGATCCATTTTTAAATCTTTTGCGGCGCTCTTTAATCCTAAAAACATATAAAGGCTAAAAATGCACCGTGAATAGAAAATAAATCCATTCAAATGATTGCAGTTTATCGATCTCGAGTTCATTCATCTCAAGACAATGTAAACAAAAGGATACAGGATCACAAGTCTGTTCGCGCAAGGTAGCTTAATTACACTATTGTCCAAGTCTTTTGAAGTACCTTCCGCAGTTCCTTAGGTCTTCTTCCAAAATATCTCACCTTTTTCGAAACGAATAAAACCGAAATCATTCGACACGTTTTCGGCAGCCACCGAAAGCAATGCCCAAAGGAATAAACCGAACCTTCGAGGTAAAAAATCCAGCGGTGTCACCCATTTCAGTAAGTCACAAATAATCCGGGCTGGAGTTGTAATGTTAGCCAACAGAAAACTTTGCTTTTGTCAACCATTAATTACTCTTACCTGATTCAACATATATAAAATGAGTGCGCCCCGACATGAAGCGAGCTTGTGACTGGATGATGACAACAAAGCAAAAAAAAAAGTCTGGGTGTTCATGGTTCGCTTGTCCTCACTCTAAACTTTGGAAGACATCGTGACATGCGTAACTTCACATCCGTGGCTAAGTAAGATTTAAAATATACAAAGGGGGTAAGTTTCTAAAGAAACTGTGATGCTGCGTCGGTAGGAGAGTATAACAGGGTAATTTAGTATGATCAACTGAGTTGATAAGTAGATTGGCCATCGTAAAGAGTTTAAAAGCTGGCGTTTCGAGCGTTAGCTCTTCGTCCATTGCTCTGACGAAGGTCTAACACTTGAAAGGTCAGCTTTTGAACTCTTTACGATGGCCAATTTACGTCATCCACTAAGTTGATAATACTAAATTACCTCACGTAATATTTCAGATCGATTTAAAAGTTTTAGATGGGAACTGAGTTCTCTGCAAGCAGCAACAGTTTTGAATGATTTTATCAGGCAAGAGTTGTCCTTTACGCAGGCGGATACTCATCTAACGAGCTGATCTTCAACGCAAAGGGATCAAACAAACATAATTGGTTCGGTTTCAATCGACTGAAGAACGAACCCTGGTCTGATATCCGAACAGAATCGCTGACCTTATTGTTATCGCTCCAATTCCCGAATATTTATTATCAACAGCGTGTACAATGGATGTCCTGCGGATGATGAATTGATGGTGGCGGAAGAATCGAAGTGAACCACAACAGATAGGAACTGTCTTCCACAGGAACAAATGGGTAACATATCAGAGGGTGCATGTTATTTTGCTCGCATAATTCGAGTTGGGTATGAGAAGATACTCGGCTGCCAATGTAAGGTTTCTTTTTTTCTATGCTTATAGTAAAGTTTAAGCCTAGTAATCTGGAAAATAAATGAAATAATCAATTTCAAAGGCTGTGATCAACTCTACTTGTAGCTTACAGCTCTTGCCATCATCAAAATGAATGTTACGTAAGGACTTCCATTAGCTTAGAACGAGAAGATTTGAATTTCTTGGCCTCTTATGAAATAGACTAAAGAACGGTTCCATATAATTTAGAAAAAATTTGTAGTTTATCGTCACTTTGAATACCTTATTTACACGAGTAAGCGTCCCCCCTGCCCCCGATAAGTGCCTCGGCCGAAGTTCGCTACACCTAAGTCGATTTTGCTAACATAATAAGGAAGACTATTTTAATACTTTATATTTACCACGGAACCAAGGAGAATTTACAATATATTGGCACCCAGCCACTTGCACAATGACTTAAGTTTAAACGTTTATATCTGGAGGTCTAACTTTCATAGGTAATATTCATACTCATGTAAATCTCGATCGTTTGTTCTTGTAAGTTTACGCTTAAGTTTAGAACGCAAAGTTTATGCTCGGGAGTACATTTCTTGCCTAAGCGTAATTTGCTACGAACTTCTTAACTACCGAAACAAATTTCATACGTTGTCTTGCTACCATTTCAATTCTAGTTACTTATATCTAGAATCTTGAGCAGATGAGATGAGTTGCTGGCCGTACATATAGAGTAGATTTCAGCGACTGAAGCTACGACTAGAAGGTATTGAGAGATTGCAGTAATTATTAATTATTGTAATTTAAACACTTCTTTGGTGGGTTTGCTGATGTAGCGAGCTCGAAGTTGAATGTAGAGAACATAAAGCGAACATGTAGCTTAATATAGCGAACATGTAGTGAACTCGAACTTAGCGAAAAAATAATATATAGATTTAGCCAAGCCTAAAAGCGGAGCTCGCATTTTTTTCCCGCACGTCTCAAGGGCACAACGCCTTGCCCCGGCCAGGACTAGAACCCGGGTCGTCCGACTCGGAGCCCAGTGCACTGACCACTGGACTACTGAACAAAGCCGCGCCGTTGGCGTGCCCGCGGTACAGTTGACCACGTATGTTAAAAGTAGCACCTTGTACGGTCGCACGGTCGGACATCCATATTTTTTTGGCTTGAAGGGTTACTTCTATTTTGTATAATTATGGGGCTAAGTTCTGCGATCTCCGCTATAAAACTTCGGTTTCGCCCAAAGCACTCCCACGTTTCTTTCTGAAAAGCCTCTTGTTACTTCCGGAAATGAAACTTTTTCTATAGAATATAGCAGACCTCTTTGTACGTATTATTATTGTTACCATTATTATTCCCTTCCTCTGCCATATATTTCTCAGAACTCTGGGACTCTAATGTGTCTCGATTATAATTATGGATTTCATGCCGAAAAAGGGAGCAATTCTTGATTTTGTCTTGTGAAAACTATATAACACGAAACCGTAGGACACAATTTTCAGCTCTTTTAGACGACGTACCAAAGTTAACCTTTTCAAGTGAAGGTAGAATTGCACAAATCTTTCACCGATTCTCCAGTTAATGATGTACTTCCAATAAACGACTCCAACTAGTAATTAAAAAATAAGGTAGTAACTGCTGAGTGTGTGTCACCTGCCACAAGGAAGCAAACTATTCACCAAGATAAAAAAGCGTGATTGGATAGATCGCATATCTGGTACATAGGCGCTCCCTATGTAACATCGACAGGCTATTCGCTATGATTTGCAAAACCGAGCGCTTTAAAAGAAGGTTTTCTTCCGATGGTGTGCCTCCATGCCCGTGACCTGTGACTCCGAATTTTGAGGAAGCTAACGCATGACACAATATTTACATTTGTGGCTTTTATACTCGCATAAACATATTGTACTCTTCTTTTGAAAAATTGTAAGGCCTATAGTTCATTTAAAAACCTATACAAGCGTTTAAACTTTTTGAAAGTTCATATTCCTAAAGAAAATGATGCTCAATGATTTTATTAATATCAAAACTATTTTGATTTACGGAATTGAGCCAAGAAGTTAAAAAAAGACTTGCTGACTTTTATCCAAAGCACAATATATGTCATATGTCGCTTAAGATGTTTAATACCAATTGAATAACAAATTGGTCACACGCGCACAGCAATATGGGAGCTATTTATTGAATTTAATACAAGACCAGCTATGGCATAAGTATCATTCTGAGAGGTTCCAAAAATAAACAATATTACTTTTTTTAAACATCTTTGCGGGCCGGAATCTTTAATCCTCGAAACTTATTGGCTAATAGCACGCTCGTAAAAAATCCAACTTTTCATAATAAGGACCACGGTCTGGAATTTCCACGCCACTCGCAGCAAAGCAAAGAAAGCAAACTAGCCGAAAAAAAAGTTATTCATCGGTCAAGGTTGGTCTGTATGGGAAAAACTGTGCCTTTTGTCTTGAGTGCGACCCTCATCTTTCGGCCAAGCTCTATCCTCACTAAAGACCATAAGAATCCCCACACCCTCCCCTGGTAAATAATAAGTATTAGAAATTGACTGTAACATCTGCTAAACCGCAAGTATCACTTCTGATAAGTTAATCAATATTGCGACCACATAAGGCAAAAACATAGTCTCACTTCTGAAAGGGAGGTCTCGGAAATAATCAATATAGCAATTAAATATATTAAATATTCCAAATAATAAACGTTGATACAACTTTTCAGTATTACTACTCTTGTTCAGTAAATATGTTGATGTCATAGCTTCCTTTACAGAACTGCCTGGGAATATATTTGATTGACAGTGTGTTCCGGTTTTGGTTTGTATGAAAACTCAACAGCAAAACGACAATCGTTTAGAAGTGTCCTTCCCGAAGAATTGAGTCAGAACACACCCAAGGTAAGTTATGGTTCGTCTTAGAATACTAAAGTGATTCACGTTTATAAGAACAGAGACCACATTTACTGAAAAAACTTTGTGCTTCCCTAGTCTGAATGCAAAATGTCTGCCTAAGGTGACGAAAGACATTGTTTTGCTCAATAACTTCCTCATTCATTGTGAAACACAGTTGAAAACTTATACCTGTTCACACCCATTCTTCATTGGTTTCAAACTGCGTGATTTCAGACTTGTGGAATCTTTGGAAAAGGATCGTTGAAACTTCAAGAAGATTCACGGTACGTACAGTTTCTTTTATAAACGATAATTTATCACAGAGGCACCGAGGCAAAATATCAGAGAATTGCCCCTTTCGAGCCAAAAGAACAAAGTCAGTTCGAGCCAATTCTCTCAAAACTGAACTATACAAAACCTTTTAAAGTTTAATTCTGCTCCAAGCTTTATGTGTTTGCTAGATTCGATCAGTATTCATTATCATTTAGTGGGGCATGATGCTCTAGCAGGACTATTAGGTTTCCTAATATACCAGTAACAGTTACAAAGTCATGGATCTTTTCGTTTCAAAAATCCTGACCTTCACTCTGTTTCGTATGTAAAACCTTTACCACATGATCCTCGAAGAAACCGCGAGGAAAACTCTGAGAACAAAATCTTCTGTTAGAAAAACAAGTTATTATCTTACTTGAGAATTTCAAGATTATTTGAATTTGATGAATTCGCTTCTTCTACCATCCACGCCCGTTACTGCTTTAATAAGTGGTCCATTTTGTTTATCACTCCTTTGATTACAGACTTAGTTCCACTCAGTTGTATCACCATTACTTATGGTTGATTTAACCAAACCCCGATCCACGGATGTAACGTTATGTTTGAATGGGATGAAATTATAAATTCTATCTTATTTTTGTCTCTCCGTAGATATTTGCTAAACATGAGAAACTTGGTCATTTTGTTGATTTTCGTGAGCTGTACATTGTCTGTGGCGGCTGGTAAGTGTAGAACGAAGCTCAAAATTCTTTCAATTGACTCTGAATGTGAAGAGGAGAGATTGTGAGCTGGAGTTGGTTGGTTACAGCTCCACCCCCCATGAAAACTTTCTACATTGGAGAATGGTGGAGCGTGATGTAGGAAACTATAGTCAGCTCGGTAACCAAGGCTAGGGTTCGCCACATTATGCTTGATATGTTACACTATTTAGTGAATTCTTAATGCTCAGACTTGAACGTCACGATTACGCTCAGTTAGCATCACTGTTGTGTTGCATTAAAATTAATATGAGAACTTCTGGAACTGCCGGAAGCCACTTTTTCTGCTTCTTTTTAACCAGGCCTGTCCTTGTTTTATGGTACCTGGCTAATTTGTAACCAGGCCTAGTCTTAAAGTTTAAAAATGCATCATTCTTTATTACTTTTTGTTTACTTTTTCAGTTTTGTACTTTTTTTGTACTATTTTTTGAAGCATAAATGCTTGATTCTTTTTCCTTGCTGTTAAGCTCATAATTATGCTGGCATTAAATGGAACACTCTAACCAAGGCCCTGACTGATAGCAAATGATTTGAATCTATTGCTGATAGTAAGTGAAGGGAGAGGTGAACGAGCAACGAAGAATGCCGGGTAAAATCGTCGATTTCCTGACGAAAGACTGCCATATTGATTTTTTTATAAAAGAAGCAAGGAAATGTTATTCAAAGAGAAATGTTAAAGAAATCTGACTCTTAGCAGTGAGTTCATGTTTTCATTGCCTTACTTTTTTTCCGTTAGCTTGTAAGGATAAAGACAAACGTTGTAAACTCTGGGCATTGACCGGTGAATGCAAAAAAAATCCAAAGTACATGGTGATCAATTGCCCCAAAAGTTGCAAAATCTGTCCAGGTATGCATGATGCTCAAGAAGTGAAATAGATTACCCATAACGTTTAAAAATTTTGTAATAATAGATCTATATAATGCTTTTTTTTCTCTCTTTCTTGTGCTTACTTTTTGATTCTGCTGCCAATTCATATACACCAATAGGCATTCCCTGACTTTTCAATCATAGTGTTATTCCTCGAAAAAAAAGTTCAAGCTCTCTCCCCTCCTCCCCCCCCCCCAACTCCTTCCCCGACGGCCACCTCTACATCTTTTTTTGTTCTCAATATGCCGGTTCAGCATTAAATTTGGGTGATTTTTGTAAAGACATCAAACAAAAAGACCTCTTGCGTTTATTAGCGCATGCCGTATACCACAATGGGTGAGTTCTCGTTGAATTTAAATGCAACCCTCAGTATAAGCCCTCGTATAATTACAACTCTTTCTCTCACTGAAACGACTTACATGGAAATTAATTCACATGGAACGAGTGGAGAGGCGAAATTAGGAAAAAAGAAAAGGTCCGGCAGCACGGGTGACCAGGCACGAAGAGATCCTGATTCAGGGGAATGTGATTCAAACAGAAATGTTGATGAAATCTGATAGGATTAAGCGATGTACTTACATGTATATTGCTTTACTTTTTTTCCGTCAGCTTGCGAGGATGAAAACAAACGTTGTAAACTCTGGGCATTGACCGGTGAATGCAAAAAAAATCCAAAGTACATGGTGATCAATTGCCCCAAAAGCTGCGGAGTCTGTCCAGGTATGCATGATGCTCAAGAAGTGAAATAGATTACCCATAACGTTTAAAAATTTCGTAATAATAGATCCATGTAATGCTTTTTTCTCCCTTTCTTGTGCTTTCATTTTGATTCTGCTACCAATTCATATACACCAATAGGCATTCCCTGACTTTTCAATCATAGTGTTATTCTTCAATAAACGTTCAAGCTCTTTCCCCTCCACTCCTCCCCCCCCTCTCCTCTTCTCCTTCCCCGACGGCCTCCTCTACATAACTGTTAGCTTTCTTTGTAGTCAATATGCCGGTTCAGCATTAAATTTGGGTGATTTTTGTAAAGACATCAAACGAAAAGACCTTTTGCGTTTATTAGCGCATGCCATATACCACAATGGGTGAGTTCTCGTTGAATTTAAATGCAACCCTCTGTACAGGTCCTCGTATAATTACAGCTCGTTCTCTCACTGAAACGACTTACATGGAAATTAATTCACAAGGAACTAGTGGGGAGGTGAAATTAGGAAAAATGAAAAGGTTCGGCAGCACGGGTGACCAGGCACAAAGAGATCCTGATTCAGGGGATTGTGATTCAAACAGAAATGTTGATGAAATCTGATAACATTAGGCGATGCACTTACATGTATATTGCTTTACTTTTTTTCCGTCAGCTTGCGAGGATAAAAACAAACGTTGTAAACTCTGGGCATTGACCGGTGAATGCGGAAAAAATCCAAAGTACATGTTGTTCCATTGCTCCAAAAGTTGCGGAGTCTGTCCGGGTATGCATGATGCTCAAGAAGTGAATTAGATTACCCATAACGTTTAAAAATTTTTTGATGATAGATCCATGTAATGCTTTTTTCTCTCTTTATTGTTCTTACATTTTGATTCTGCTGACAATTCATATACACCAATAGGCATTCCCTGACTTTTCAATCATAGTGTTATTCTTCAAAAAACGTTCAAGCTCTTCCCCCCCCTCTCCTCGACTCCTTCCCCGACGGCCACCTCTACATAACTGTTAGCTTTCTTTGTAGTCAATATGCTGGGTGATTTTTCTGGGTGATATTTGGGTGATTTTTGTAAAGACAACAAAGCAAAAAGACCTTTTGCATTTATTAGCGTATGCCATATACCACAATGGATGAGTTCTGGTTGAATTCAATTGCAACCCTCCGTATAGGCCCTCGTAATTACAGCTCTTCTCCTCGCTGAAACGACTTACATAGGAATTAATTCACAAGGAACGAGTGGGAAGACGAAATTAGGCAAAAAAAAACGGTCTGACCGCACGGGTGACCAGGCATGAAGAAATCCTGATTCAGGGGAATGTGACTCACACAGAAATGTTGATGAAGTCTAATAAGATTAAGCGATGTACTTACATGTATATTGCTTTACTTTTTTTCCGTCAGCTTGCGAGGATAAGAACGAACATTGTAAATCCTTGTGATTCAAACAGAAATGTTGATGAAATCTGATAACATTAGGCGATGCACTTACATGTATATTGCTTTACTTTTTTTTCCGTCAGCTTGCGAGGATAAAAACAAACGTTGTAAACTCTGGGCATTTAACGGTGAATGCGTAAAAAATCCAAAGTACATGCTGTTCAATTGCCTCAAAAGTTGCGGAGTCTGTCCAGGTATGGATGATGCTAAAGAAGTGAAATAGATTACCCCTAACGTTTTAAAATTTTGTGAGAATAGATCTATGTCATGCTTTTTTCTCTCTTTCTTATGCTTATATTTTGATTTTGTTGCCAATTCATATACACCAATAGGCATTCCCTGACTTTTCAATCATAGAGTGATTCTTCAAAAAACGTTCAAGCTCTTCCCCTCCCCGCCTCTACTCCTTCCCCGACGGCCACCTCTACATAACTGTTAGCTTTCTTTGTAGTCAATATGCCGGTTCAGCATTAAATTTGGGTGATTTTTGTAAAGACATCAAAGCAAAAAGACATTTTGCGTTTATTAGCGTATGCTATATACCACAATGGGCGAGTTCTCGTTGAATTTAATTGCTATCCTCTATACAGGCCCTCGTATAATTACAGTTCTTTCTCTCGCTGAAACGACTTACATGGGAATAAATTCACAAGGAACGAGTGGGGAGGCGAAATTAGGAAAAAAATACGGTCCGGCAGCACAGGTGACCAGGCATGAAGAGATCCTGATTCAGGGGATTATGATTCAAACAGAAATGTTGATGAAATCTGATAAGACTAAGCGATGTACTTACATGAATATTGCTTTACCTTTTCTCCGTCAGCTTGCGAGGATAAGCACAAACATTGTAAATTCTGGGCATTGACCGGTGAATGCGGAAAAAAGTATATGCTGTCCAATTGCTCCAAAAGTTGCGGCAACTGTTAGGTATGCATGCGCACATGTAATCATTTAAAAAATCACATAGATTAGCGTAAACCTTAAAACGTTTTGAAATTTTGTGTTTCTTTTTAATGATATATTGAATTCTCTTACTAATGATCGTGTAGTGATGAGCATTCTTTTCTTTTAAAAAGTCACAGAGGTTTATCTCTCTCTCGAAAAAAGTGCGATTTGTCACCCTGTCCGTCTTACCAGCTGTCCTCTTAAATTCATCAATGTGGCTCAAATGGTTTTTAAATGGCTGTTATAAAAGGGGATAATCCTAGCTGCTTCATGCTAAGGAAACCGGCCCATGGGCCACTTGGGCCTGTATAAGGGCTTTACCTTTAGTGAGATACGAAGGAGTTCAAAAGGAAAACGGGGACAGCGGTAGGAGAAATTTCCAATTTCAAGAAAAATTTACTTAAGTGGGTGGAACTTTGAAAATGCAATTCAGCTATAGAACAAACCTCAGCCTTTGGCAAATCACGGTGGTGTTTTCTTTTTTTTTTCTTATTGCAGAATCGAAGTGAAACACATCTAACCTGTCTTCCTCCGGATCAGATGGATAAGATTTGAGGCAGTAGTCTTATTTTGCCAGCATAATTTGGATTGGGTGAAGGAAAATGCTGGGTTCCTAATGTAAGGGTTTTTCTTTCGCTGTGCTTATTGTAGAATTTCAAGCCTCGTTATCTGGAAAATAAAACAAATGATTAACTCAAAGGCTGTGGTTGATCCTCTTTGTTATTAGCAACTATTTCTTAATTAACCCAAGAGGTTCAAAACAAGGAAAGACGAAGGGGAAGGGACAAATTGGTTGAAAATGAAAAATAGGTCGCGTTGATATGACAGTTTAACTTGAAACGACCATTTTTTTGATCTACCTACGGACGCGATGGCCCAATAGGCAGTGCGCTGGATTTCGTTTCGAGAGGCCTGGGTTCGAGACCTGACCGGGTATTGTGTTGTGTTCCTGAGCAAAACACTTCATCCTCACAGTACCTCTTTCCACCCAGGAGTATAAAAGGGTACCGATCGAGTAATTATTAGGAAAGACTGATGAAATGCTGGGGGTTATCTCGCGAGTACTAGCATCCCATCATGCCAAGAATCTGCAAGGCGAGGAAGTTCTGCCTTTTCAACTCGAAATTGGGCCTTTCAGTCAGCTGAATTCATGTTTTCTAGATCGAAAACATCATACGATTGATAGCCGAAATCTGGATTTTTTTTAACAATAACTGTCGTATAATGGAACAAATTGTTCGTCCGAAATGTTGTTGTTTGCATTGATAAGCAAAAGTATCACTGGACAAGTCTTAAATTTGTTCATTTTTAAAGAACTCGGCAAGTTGCTGTCGGAAAATGAAGGGTGCTAAAGGTTTATTTCAAGGACCTTAAGCAGTCAGGACGGCAACGCCATGGAAGATGTTGATTGGAAAAATGAATTTCTGCCTTTAATTAGAATTTCGAAAATGGCTGCGTCTCATACGGCGCCACACCTCAACTTCAGCATCACGTAGGAAGGAAGTGTTGAGTTCCAAATGGAAATTAAAATAATTTGCCGTCGCGGTTTCTGTTCGTAGACGACGCAAGTTGTGGTGATTTCACGTTGCTGTTTTGCACGGGACGGCTAAGAAATGTACAAAGTTATGAAACGCACGTGCTGAGCTATTGTTCTGCCAATTAGATCTTTTTTTTTTTCGTGTCCTCGTTGCCGTCGCCATCGTGGTTTGCTTAAGGCCCCTAACGTTTTTGGCGGGAAAAACGCCGTCCTCACCCCGGTCTCCTTCGTCCACCGACGTCGCCGTCGCATGAAAACTCTCGGTGCTAAAGGTCCCTATTAGCAGCTTGTCAGGGAACGGGAAGAAGGAGTCCAAATCCTCCATTTTAACTGACGCAAGAGACCTTTGCCAATGGAAACCCTTCGTTTCAAATTGTAGCGAAAGTCTTTCCAATTTCATTCCCGGGGAGAAAGATTTTAGCCAACAGAAAACTTCGCTTTTGTCAGCCATTAATTACTCTTACCTGATTCAACATATATAAAATGAGTGCGCCCCAACATGAAGTGAGCTTGGATTGGAAGATGACAAAAAAGCAAAAAAAAAAATGTCTAGGTGTTCATGGTTCGAGTATTCTCACTCTAAACTTTCGAAGACATCGTGACATGCGTAACTTCACATCCGTGGCTAAGTAAGATTTAAAATATACAAAGGGGGTAAGTTTCTAAAGAAACTGTGATGCTGCGTCGGTAGGAGAGTATAACAGGGCAATTTAGTATTATCAACTGATTTGATGAGTAGATTGGCCATCGTAAAGAGTTTAAAAGCTGGCGTTTCGAGCGTTAGCTCTTCGTCCATTGCTATGACGAAGGGCTAACACTCGAAAGGTCAGCTTTTGAACTCTTTACAGTGGCCAATTTACGTCATCTACTAAGTTGATAATACTAAATTACCTCAAGTAATATTTCAGATCGATTTAAATGTTTTAGATGGGAACTGAGTTTTTTGCAAGCAGCAACAGGTTTGAATGATTTTATCAGGCAAGAGTTGTCCTTTATGCGGGCGGATATTCATTTAACGAGCTAATCTTCAACGGAAAGGGATCAAACAAACATAACTAGTTCGATTTAAATCGACTGAAGAACGAACCCTGGTCTGATATTCAAACAGAATCGCTCACCTTGTCGTTATCGCTCCAATTCCCGAATATGGCGACAGCTTTATTATCAACAGCGTGTACAATGGATGTCTTGCCGATGATGAATGGATGGTGGCAGCAGAATCGAAGTGAACCACAACAGAACTGCCTTCCACAGGAACAGATGAAAAATATTTCAGGAAGTGTATGTTATTTTGCTCGCATAACTCGGGTTGGGTATGAGAAGATACTCGGCTGCCAATGTAAGAATTTTTTTTTTTGCTATGCTTATAGTAAAATTTCAAGCCTCATAATTTGGAAAATAAATCAAATAATCAATTTCAAAGGCTGTGATCAATTCTATTTGTAGCTTATAACTCTTCCCATCGTATAAAATGAATATTACGTAAGGACTTCCATTCGCTTAGTTACAAGAACGATTTGAATTTTCTTGGCCTCTCATTAAATAGACTAAAGCGCGGTTCCATATAATTTAGAAAAAAGTTGTAGTTTCTCGTCACGTTGAATGCCGTATTTACACGAGTAAGCGTCCCTCCTACCCCCGATAAGTGCCGCAGCCGAAGTTCCCTACACCCAATTCTATTTCGCTAATATAAGGAAGACTATTTCAATACTTTATCTACCACAGACCTGAGGAGACTTTATAATATACTGGCACCCAGCCACTTGTACAATTATGTAACTTTAAACGTTTATATCTGGAGTTTCTAACTTTCATAGGTAATATTTATAATCATATAAATCTCGATCGTTTGTTATTGCAAGTTTACGCCTAGGTTTAGAACGCAAAGTTTATGCTCTGGAGGACATTTGTTGCCTAAGTAGTGTAATTTGTTACGAATTTCTTAACTACCGAAACAAATTTCATACTTTGGCTTGCCACCATTTCAAATCTAGTTACTTATATCTAGAATCTTGAGCAGATGAGATGAGTTGCTGGCCGTACATATAGAGTAGATTTCAGCAACTGAAGCTACGACTAGAAGGTATTGAGAGATTGCAGTAATGATTAATTATTGTAATTTAAACACTTCTTTGGTGGGTGTGCTGATGTAGCGAGCTCGTAGTTGAATGAAGAGAACATAAAGCGAACACGTACCTTAATATAGCGAACATGTAGTGAACTCGAACTTAGCCAAAAAATAATATATAGATTTAACCAAGCCTAAAAGCGGAGCTCGAATTTTTGTTTCCGCACGTCTCAAGGGCACAACGCCTTGCCCCGGCGAGGACTAGAACCCGGGTCGTCCGACTCGGAGCCCAGTGCACTGACCACTGGACTACTGAACAAATACGCGGCGTTGGCGTGCCCGCGGTACACTTGACAACGTATGTTAAAAGTAGCACCTTGTACGGTCGTACGGTCGTACATCCAAATTTTTTTTGGCTTGATGGGTTACTACTATTTTGTATAATTATGGGGCTACGCTCTGCGAGCTCCGCTATAAAATTTCTGTTTCGCCTAAAGCACTCGCACGTTTCTTTCTGAAAAGCCTCTTGTTACTTCCGGAAATGAAACTTTTTCTATAGAATGCGTGGCAGACCTCTTTGTACGTATTATTATTTTTACCATTATTATTCCCTTCTTCTGCCATATATTTCTCAGAACTCTGGGACTCTAATGTGAGTGATTATAATTATGGATTTCATGCCGAAAAGGGAACAATTCTTGATTTTGTCTTGTTAAAACTATATAACACGAAACCGTAGGACACAATTTTCAGCTCTTTTAGACGACATACCAGAGTCAACCTTTTCGAGTGAAGGTAGAATTGCACAAATCTTTCAGCGATTCTCCAGTTAATGATGAACTTCCAATAAACGACTCCAACTAGTAATTAAAAAATAAGGTTGTAACTGCCGAGTGTGTCACCTACCACAAGGAAGCAAACTATTCACCAAGATAAAAAAGCGTGATTGGATAGATCGCATATCGGGTACATAGGCGCTCCCTATGTAACATCGACAGGCTCTTCGCTATGATTTGCAAAATCGAGCGCTTTAAAAAAAGGGTTTCTTCCGATGGGGTGCCTCCATGCCCGTGACTTGTGACTCATAATTTTGAGGAAGCTAACGCATGACACAATATAAACATTTGTGGCTTTTATACTCGCATAAACATATTGTACTCTTCTTTTGAAAAATTGTAAGGCCTATAGTTCATTTAAAAAATATACAAGCGTTTAAACTTTTTGAAAGTTCGTATTCATAAAAAAAATGATGCTCAATGATTTTATTAATATCAAAACTATTTTGATTTACGGAATTGAGCCAAGAAGTTAAAAAAAGACTCGCTGACTTTTATCCAAAGCACAATATATGTCATATGTCGCTTAAGGTAATTAATACCAATTGAATAAAAAATTGGTCACAGGCGCACAGCAATATGGGAGCTGTTTATTGAATTTAATACAAGACCAGCTATGGCATAAGTATCATTCTGAGAGGTTCCAAAAATAAACAATATTACTTTTTTTAAACATCTTTGCGGGCCGGAATCTTTTATCCTCGAAACTTTTTGGCTAATCGCGCGCTCGTAAAAAATCCAACTTTTTACAATGCGGACCACGATCTGGAATTTTCCACGCTACTCGCAGCAAAGCAAAGAAAGCAATCTAGCAAAAAAAAAAAAGTTGTTCATCGGTCAAGGTTGGTCTGTATGGGAAAAACTGTGCCTTTTGTCTTGAGTGCGACCCTCATCTTTCCAAGCTCTATCCGTCACTAAAGACCATAAGAATCCCCACCCCCTTCCCTGGCAAATAATAAGTATTAGAAATTGACTGTAACATCTGCTAAACCACAAGTATCACTTCTGATAAGTTAATCAATATTGCGACCAGATAAGACAAAAATATAGTCTCACTTCTGAAAGGGAGGTCTCGGAAATAATCAATGTAGCAATTAAATATATTAAATATTCCAAATAATAAACGTTGACACAACTTTTCAGTATTACTACTCTTGTTCAGTTAATATGTTGATGTCATAGCTTTCTTTACAGAACCGCCTGGGAATATATTTGATTGACAGTGTGTTCCGGTTTTGGTTTGTATGAAAACTCAACAGCAAAACGACAATCGTTTAGAAGTGTCCTTCCCGAAGAATTGAGTCAGAACACCCCCAAGGTAAGTTATGGTTCGTCTTAGAATACTAAAGTGATTCACGTTTATAAGAACAGAGACCACATATACCGAAAAAACTTTGTGCTTCCCTAGTCTGAATGCAAAATGTCTGCCTAAGGTGACGAAAGACATTGTTTTGCTCAATAACTTCCTCATTCATTGTGAAACACAGTTGAAAACTTATACCTGTTCACACCCATTCTTCATTGGTTTCAAACTGCGTGATTTCAGACTTGTGGAATCTTTGGAAAAGGATCATTGAAACTTCAAGAAGATTCACGGTACGTACAGTTTCTTTTATAACCGATAGTTCATCACAGAGGCACCGAGGCAAAATATCAAAGAATTGGTCCTTTCGAGCCAAAAGAACAAAGTCAGTTCGAGCCAATTCTCTCAAAACTGAGCTATACAAAACCTTTTAAAGTTTAATTCTGCTCCAAGCTTTATGTGTTTGCTAGATTCGATCAGTATTCATTATCATTTGGTGGGGCATGATGCTCTAGCAGGACTATTAGGTTTCCTAATATACCAGTAACAGTTACAAAGTCATGGATCTTTTCGTTTCAAAAATCCTGACCTTCACTCTGTTTCGAATGTAAAACCTTTACCACATGATCCTCGAGGAAACCACGAGGAAAACTCTAAGAACAAAATCTTATGTTAGAAAAACAAGTTATTATTTTACTTAATAATTTCAAGATTATTTGAATTTGATGAATTCGCTTCTTCTACCATCCACGCCCGTTACTGCTTTAATAAGTCATCCATTTTGTTTATCACTCCTTTGATTACAGACTTAGTTCCACTCAGTTGTATCACCATTACTTATGGTTGATTTAACCAAACCCCGATCCACGGATGTAACGTTATGTTTGAATGGGATGAAATTATAAATTCTATCTTATTTTTGTCTCTCTGTAGATATTTGCTAAACATGAGAAACTTGGTCATTTTGTTGATTTTTGTGAGCTGTGCATTGTCTGTGGCGGCTGGTAAGTGCAGAAGGAAGCTCAAAATTCTTTCAAGTGACTCTGAATGCGAAGGAGGAGAGACTGTGAGCTGGAGTTGGTTGGTTACAGCTCCTTCCCCCATGAAAACTTTCTACATTGGAGAATGGTGGGGCGTGATGTATGAAACTATAGCCAGCTCGGTAACCAAGGCTAGGGTTCGCCACATTATGCTCGATATGTTACACTTAGAAAATGTCACGATTACGCTCAGTTAGCATCACTTTTGTGTTGCATTACAATTAATATGAGAACTTCTGGAACTGCCGGGAGCCATTTTTTTTTTGCTTCTTTGTGCATCATTGTACTCTTTTCGTACCATTTTTTTAAGCATAAATACTTTATTCTTTTTCCTTACTGTTAAGCTCAAAATTATGCTGGTATTACATAGAACACTCTAACCAAGGCCCTGACTGATAGCAAGTGATTTGAATCTATTGCTGATAGTAAGTGAAGGGAGAGGTGAACGAGCAACGAAGAATGCCGGGTAAAATCGTTGATTTCCTGACTAAAGACTGCCATATTGATTTTTTTTCCAAAAGAAGCAATAAAAATATTATACAAAGAGAAATGTTAAAGAACTCTGACTCTTAGCAGTGAGTTCATGTTTTCATTGCCTTACTTTTTTTCCGTCAGCTTGCAAAGATAAAAACAAGCGTTGTAAATCCTGGGCATGGAGCGGTGAATGCAAAAAAAATCCAAAGTACATGGTGATCAATTGCCCCAAAAGTTGCACAATCTGTCCAGGTATGCATAATGCTCAAGAAGTTAAAAAGATCACCCATAACGTTTCAAACTTTTGTAGTAACAGATCCATGTAATGACTTACATGGGAATAAATTCACAAGGAACCAGTAGAGAGGCGAAATTAGGAACAAAGAAAAGGTCCGGCAGCACGGGTGACCAGGCACGAAGAGATCCTGATTCAGGGGAATGTGATTCAAACAGAAATGTTGATGAAATCTGATAGGATTAAGCGATGTACTTACATGTATATTGCTTTACTTTTTTTTCTGTCAGCTTGCGAGGATAAGAACGAACATTGTAAATCCTGGGCATTGAACGGTGAATGTGTAAAAAATCCAAAGTACATGGTGATCAATTGCCCCAAAAGTTGCACAATCTGTCCAGGTATGCATTATGCTTAAGTGAAATAGATTACCCATAACGTTTAAAAATTTTGTAATAATAGATCCATGTAATGCTTTTTTCTCTCTTTCTTGTGCTTTCATTTTGATTCTGCTACCAATTCATATACACCAATAGGCATTCCCTGACTTTTCAATCATAGTGTTATTCTTCAAAAAACGTTCAAGCTCTTTCCCCTTCACCCCCTCCCCCCCCCCCCTCTTCTCCTTCCCTGACGGCCTCCTCTACATAACTGTTAGCTTTCTTGTAGTCAAGATGTCGGTTCAACATTAAATTTGAGCGATTTTTGTAAAGACATCGCAGAAAAAAGACCTCTTGCGTATATTGGCGTATGTCACATACCACAATGGGTGAGTTCTCGTTGAATTTAAACGCAACCCTCTGTATAGCTCCTTGTATAATTACAGCTCTTTCTCTCACTGAAACGACTTACATGGGAATGAATTCAGAAGGAACGAGTAGAGAGGCGAAATTAGGAAAAAAAAAAGGTCCGGCACGGGCGACTAGGAACGAAGAGATCCTGATTCAGGAGAATATGATTCAAACAGAAATGTTGATGAAATCTGATAACATTAAGCGATGCACTTACATGTATATTGCCTTACTTTTTTTTTTCCGTCAGCTTGCAAGGATGAAAACGAACGTTGTAAATCCTGGGCATTGAACGGTGAATGCGAAAAAAATCCAAAGTACATGCTGTTCAATTGCTCCAAAAGTTGCGGAGTCTGTCCCGGTATGCATGATGCTCAGGAAGTGAAATAGCTTACCCATAACGTTTAAAAAATTTGGGATAATAGATCCATGTAATGCTTTTTTCTCTCTTTCTTGTGCTTACATTTTGATTCTGCTGACAATTCCTATACATCAATAGGCATTCCCTGACTTTTCAATCATAGTGTTATTCTTCAAAAAACGTTCAAGCTCTTCCCCCCCCTCTCCTCGACTCCTTCCCCGACGGCCACCTCTACATAACTATTAGCTTTCTTTGTAGTCAATATGCCGGTTCGGCATTAAATTTGGGTGACTTGTGTAAAGACATCAAAGCAAAAAGACCTTTTGTGTTTATTAGCACATGCCATATACCACAATGGGTGAGTTCTCATTGAATTTAATTGCTATGCTCTGTATAGGCCCTCGTATAATTACAACTCTTTCTCTCGCTGAAACGACTTACATGGGAATAAATTCACAAGGAACGAGTGGGGAGGCGAAATTAGGAAAAAAAAACGGTCCGGCTGCACGGGTGACCAGGCATGAAGAGATCCTGATAAAGGGGTATATGATTCAAACAGAAATGTTGATGAAATCTTATAGGATTAAGCGATGCACTTACAGGTATATTGCTTTACTTTTTTTTCCGTCAGCTTGCGAGGATAAGAACCAACACTGTAAATCCTGGGCATTGAACGGTGAATGCGAAAAAAATCCAAAGTACATGCTGTTCAATTGCTCCAAAAGTTGCGGAGTCTGTCCAGGTATGCATGCGTACAAGTAATCATTTAAAAAATCAAATAGATCAGCGGAAACCTTAAAACGTTTTGAAATATTGTGTTTCTTTTTAATGATATATTTAATTCTTACTAATGTACGTGTAGCGATGAGCATTCTTTTCTTTAAAAAAAGTCAGAGGTTTATCTCTCTCTCGAAAAATGTGCGATTTGTCACCCTGTCCGTCTTACCAGCTGTCCTCTTAAATTCATCGATGTGGATCAAATGGTTTTCAAATGGCTTTTATAAAAGAGAAAAAGAAACGCTTTCCAAACTATTTTTTGTTTTCCAAAATAGCCTACTTTTTGATAAATCAATAGTTTTCCCCTGCATGTTTAGGAAAACTAGCAAAATTAATCAAATTTTGCGAAAAAAATCTTAAAAAGATTAAAAAATCTTATTTTCCCCTACAAGATTGAGCATGTCCGTAAAAAACTGTGTCTTGAGAGTCAACCATAGAAAGATGCAGAGGTAATCTACAACCACTCAGTAAATAGATATTGTAGAAATTCTGCAACCAGTCACCTGATGTCACAGAAATTCTGTGACCACTCAGTCACTAGATGTCACAGAAATTCTGCGACTACTCAGTCACTAGATGTCACAGAAATTCTGCGACCACTCAGTCACTAGATGTCACAGAAATTCTGCAACCACTCAGTCACTAGATGTCACAGAAATTCTGCAATCACTCAGTACCATGTTGTTGCAGAAATTCTACAACCACTCAACCACTGGATGTCACAGAAATTCTGCGATCACCCAATCACAAGCTGTTGCAGAAATTCTGCGACCACTCAAGCACTGGATGTTGCAGAAATTCTGCGATCACTCAGTCACAAGTTGTCGCAGAAATTCTGCGACCCCTCACACACAAGTTGTCGCAGAAATTCTGCAACCACTCAACCACTGGATGTTGCAGAAATTCTGTGATCACTCAGTCACAAGTTGTCGCAGAAATTCTGCAACCACTCAACCACTGGATGTCGCAGAAATTCTGCCATTCCTTTGAACTATCTCAAAAAAATATGTAAAAAATATAACTAATAAAAAATGTCTTATTTTTATCTTGCATTTGCCCTATCCTGTAATGAAAGCCCTTAAGGCCTTATGGATGGAGAGTTAAATTACAATAAATCCATGCTACATTTCAGTAGTTTCAATACACGGTGGCTTATATATATATATATATATATATATTTATGTAAGCCTTGCAACACACAAGTCACTAAGCTGCAATTCCAGTACATGCGTTTTCTAAAGCAACGTTACTACGCAAGTGTCATGACACCCTATGTAACTTTACACAAAGAGCTAAGCCCAATTTCAGAAAGGAATGGAGCAAAGGTAAAAACTTAAAGATTGATTTGTCCTCAAAGTAACATATCTTTCCTTGAGAAATTTTCTTGTTGATGGCATTAGCTTTCTGTCTTCCATAAGCTCAAATGAACTGCACATTAAACAGCTCTTAGGAAGGATCTCCACCCATGGTCTAGATTTTTGTCGGGGAACATGCCGAGGAGTCCATTTTCCAATAATGCACCTTAAAATTGTCCTCCTCGACGGCCAGGACCTTGCCAATACAGGGAAATTTATTGTAATTGGCGAAGTACATAGCCACAAAGCAACTGACATGAAGAGTAGCGAGGAAATCATCTACCATTTCAATAGGCGCTTCCCTTTCCCTCGGGGTCCTGTAACGGCCTGTGTAAATCTGAAATATTCAACAGACATGTCATTAGAATTTGCTTGTTTAGGTGAGTATTTCGACTGAGATGTATCAATTATCAATTGTTCTTATCATTTTATTCTTTTATTAATTATAAGTAATGGATTATGTAACCATGTCATATTCTATTAGATAAGTGCAATTTGGTGTGAATAAGCACAAATAAGTTTCCAAAGAAAAAACTTTGCCCTGAAGGGCAAGTGCAATTTTGTGGTATTTGAAAAATTTACAAGTGCTTAGTAGACCAAATTGCGTGAAAAATTTATGTTATTACTTGTTAATAATGTACAGACAAAATTTTGAAAGTGTGTTTGCGCTATTTGTAATTTGCACTCATGTTACAACTTTGCATTTGTGCTACATGAGAATTGACTTGTTTTCAGCCAATCAGATGCATGTAATTTTATCATGTACATTATTATATATCTAAAATTGGACTTGTATAATCTATAACTAGACACAGAAGGGGTTAGAGTAATGGACCCCTCTAATTATTTCTCTTTTATATCTGTAGGACCATTTAAAGGCTTGGCTTTTTTGTGCCCACTGCTGCATTTTAATTATTATTCACCTCTGTAATAGGCTGGATCACTTTCTCTCTGAGCTCTAAAAGTTCATGTGGGAGTTCAGCATTTGAGGCTAAAACAGTCCTTAAAGTATTCTTCAATTTATCCACTGGCCAAGTGTAGTTGTCAGGTACTGATAATAGGTTAAACTCTGTATTTGCTAACCAAGATTCCCACTCTTCAGATGCTTTTAAGGGTATATTCTTGGGATATTTGGTGGGAAGATCTTACATGTACTCTGTAAGTAAACATTTACACCAAATTTATAACATGTCAATGTCACATTTAATCTGTTAATTCAAGTGGAAGAGTTCATACTTTCTATACACTAAATTTTGAACCGTGCTCTTGCCTCATGCAGAACTTTTTTCGATCACAGTGCTAGTTGCTATGTATTTATATTCATTTGATAGATAACTTATATGAATATTTGCCACACAAGATTACCACATTGCACAGGCAGTTTTGATTGTTGGACCTCTCAGTTACTCCAACTGTAGCTTGAAGTAATTACTTTATGTTACAACAACTTACCTGTAACTATATAAACGTCCAGTTTGTCTAAGTGCTTTGAATAAACCCCAAAAAAGGCATCTATGTCCTCGTGGGTATGTCCCACTGCGAGAAAGTTCACTCTTATCAGAAATACAAGAAAGGAAAGTAGTGTTGTTTTTTTTTATTTCAAGTTCAGGTTACATTCATTCAGTAGTTGCAAAAATTGAGATTGAATGGAAACTAACTTCCCACCCAAATGGAGCTTGAAAACATTGCAATGTGACATTTTGACGCTTGAACAAAGTGCCTTGTGGGAAGTGTGAATGAGGCAAATGCATTTCTTTTAAAATTACCCAAGATAAGATACTTTATAAAAATTTTATCTTCAACCAGAAGTGCCAGCAGAGCAAACATGTAACGGTTCTTGTTTTCTCTAACACAGTTGTCAAACTGCAGATAGAGAATGGGTGGTAGGTCAAATTCCTCCGACCATCTTACAAGGACTTCCAACAGAACTGTCATGGTAAGATTAGAGTCATGACGATACTGGTAGTAGTCAAATGACCCATAAATCTCCTTTCCATTTTGTGCTTGTCCATTATGAATAATGGAACCGACAAGGTGTGTTCCCACAGTTGTAAGTGCAGACATTGCCGTGGTAATTTGGCGCACACTTGGGACATTTGTGATGTGCGTTAAGTCGCCGAGACAATTTGCTCTAATGATTGTAGATATATGAAAATCATATATGTGCACTGCGGCGAAGAAACGAATATTAGAGATCCTTGCAGCAATGAACACTATTGAACTAGTAGTTGAAATAATACCTGTAAAAATTTCATGCCCGTACAGGATTTGAACCCATGACCTCTGCGAGATATTGTTATGACTGTTGATGTAAACTAATCTGACACTTGTGAAGATCTCGGCGTGATCCCTCCAAATCCAAAAGGGAATGAGATCTGGTCCATAGCAGTTTTCTTCAGATGTTGTAAGCAATTCCACACGTGTCTTTCTGATATCTGAGGGGCTTCTAAGCTCTTATCCACAATAGCTGGTACAGGCTTCGTATATGCGTCATCAGTGCACAAATCGGCGAAGTAGTCGTTTAGCTCCTCCAGTGATTTAGTGTCCAATGTCACGTTAGCAGAAATGCTGCGTTGTTGGGACAAGTTATCTACGTGCTTCCACCATTCTCTGGATCCGACAGGTGCCTTTGCGAGTGTTCTTCTGTTCTTACTAATCAATTCGCTTATTTTCCTGTTAACCTCAACCAGGATGTTGATCTAGTGCATTGTCCATTAAGTGGGTTAAGTCTTGCAAAAAATCCGCCGGTTGGTATGTAGGTTTAGGCGGGTGATAAATACCACACGTTAATAACAAATGTCCCGAGGGTAATTTTAAAATCACATACAGGAGCTCGTAAAGCTTTGATCTGTAAACATCGATGATGTTTAAGTTACTCCTCGCGTAGATAGCAATCCCTCCCTTACTTCTTTTATCCAGTCCCGACCATTTTCTATCCCGTCTGAAAATAGAATAGCCAGGAATTTTGACGATAGCATCCGGCATTTCTGGTTTTAAATGCGTCTCTGATACAATACAGACATCAATGTCCTATTATTCAAATCGGCTTCCATCGCCACTGCCGCTCGAACTCTGTTCTTGGTTTTGGCCAGACTGCATATATTTGTAAATAAAAACTTTGGTACTGCAAATTCAGAAACAGTTCGCGAGACGGGGTTCTGCTTCCGTTTAGGAATTGGGACAAGGTTCTTCATATCCCTGGCCCTGGTAGATGAGCTCACATCTCCTCGAATACTAAAAATGACCGGAATAGATTTCTCATCACGGCTTTCACCAGAAGATACCTTACCCACGTCCACTCCCAGTTCACGTCGCCAGCTGCCTCCCCGACAGCCTCTATACCGATAAAGATTAAACATCTTCAGTTTCTGAACCACAGCAGGCATAGGTTTCAATCGGCTTGCTGTAAATTTGCGGAGTCTCAGAAGGTCTTGTTTCGTATACGTAATAAGTCGAGTCGTATGACTCTCACACTCGAAGCGGTTGTCTGGCCCTGGATTCGACTCCACGTCCATACAAATGCATATGTCCAGACAGATATCCTGTTCACTGCAAGCGATGGTTAACAAGCCATGTCTGTGCCATACCAATACAGAGTACCGAAGACGGGCATGTCGCGAGCGCCGGGTTACGAATCTTACACATGAACAAGGACCATGCCGAAGCACCGCGTCATCTCTAACTCCAGAATCCCCACAACAGGCCTTTCGAACGCTTAGCAAGAAGCTAGCCAGACTTTCTTGGATTATAGGTTTTTCTAAATGGAGACATAGTAACAGAAGAAGAGGAGCTAAAATCCTCGTGGCCGCCATATTGGCGCCGCTAACCCGACCCCAGCAGCACTGCAGCACTTGACGTTACAGCATGCAGAATTTCTGCATCACTTGACGTTACACCGTGCAGAATTTCTGCAGCACTTGACGTTACATCGTGCAGAATTTCTGTAGCACTTGACGTTACATCGTGCAGAATTTCTGCAACACTTGACGTTACATCGTGCTGAATTTCTCGCGAGTACTAGCATCCCATCATGCCAAGGGAATCGAGTTAAACTATATATAGCTGGGTGGGCCATGTGACTCGAAAACAGACATTTTTTACTCACCTGCATCTATAAAATACATTTTTGAGTTAAATTCGACGCTGTTTCACAATTTCATTTTCATATTTTCTTTACGAATTTACCAAACTAATGATATTATATCAATAAGTTGATGACTTTACAAAAAAATTACTTATCTACTCCGGAAGACCGGCAAACTGTTCAAATAAAATAAACATTCCGAAAATCAATTTTTTTTTTCAATGCGAATGCAAAACAAACACGAGACTACGCAAATGTTGTTAATTGAGCTAAATGAAAAACAAATTATCACTGAAATAGATTAACTGCCTCTTGGTTTTCTGGATAAAGCGATAATGAAATGGCTTAATACGTGCAACAGATTGAAGATCAGTGAATAATAATTATTCGAAAACGAAACTTTTCTCCAGCAATAGTTTACGCAACACCAAGAAAAACCATAAATCGAACTCGTAGATTGAACCAGTTAACAAGACAGTGTTTTTCTCATTTCCATGGGCCGTTACGCCTAACGACAAGTAAGAGGTTAAAAGCAGGCTCAGTTCAAATAAAGAAAAGAGCTGAAATTAAAATGGCACTGATTTAAGGTAGAAGGCTATACCGTTACCATAGCTACCAAATAAATGATCGAGGGTTGCAGGAGATTGTGCGGCCGCACAAAAATATTCATATTTTCTTCAGTGAATGTTTCCCTTTCAAATTTACGACAGAAAGTCAAAGGCTGAGAAGATTTCCTTTCCCAACTAGCATATAGCTAGAGAATTGTCACTGGACAAAATTAATTTTTTCTGTTTGCATTTTTAAAGGTAAAGCATCATTTATTTGGATGATTTATCTTCAATATAAACCATATTTTCTGAGCCAACATATAATCAAATCTTAGATAAAGACAAGATTGATCAAGAACAACAGAGGCGACAAATTCAAGTTAACTTTAAATTAATTGGAGATTTTGCCATCACAACGCTAAACGATGAAAAATTCCTTCCACCTCGATTTGTAGTATTTTAATAACTCAGACATGTTTTTCTTTCTTTTATGTTTCTTAATTAGATAGAACGTTAAACAAATTTTCATTTAAAAAGCCTTAAGTGAAATTAAAATTTGTCGCAATTTTCTCGAGGACGAATTGAATTTAAAGCAGATGGCTTTGAAAAGTTTCATAAACATAATAAGAATAGATCTAGAATTATGATTGATATCTGCCAAATGATCAAGTGGTCAGTTTTTTTTTGCAAGCAAACAAACTGTTTCATTAAAAACTTGTATTCACAACATACCTGTTTCACCTGGTGTTTTATTTCATTTCCCTGGAGCAGTTCAAGGCCGAGGGGAATGTAAGTTTGAAGTCCATCTTCTTTACCCGTTAGATCATCTCAAAAGAGGCTATTTCAGCTTTAAACAATTTCAAGGTCTTTCGTGAATTCAAGAGAGAATTGCACTATTTCCTTTCCGTGCCAGAATTCTTTCACAAGGTTAAGTAGGCAAGGTCCGAACTCGAGCCTTATGACCCATCCCAGCTGGAGCTTTTCCCGGTAGCATGAAGCGACTATGAGCATTACAACTCCCAATTGGATGGGATGCCAGGGTTAGACAGTTCACCGGTACTCATTTATATTCCTTGGTGGAAGAGGCACTGTAGTGGTAAAGTGTTTTGCCTAAGAACGCAACACAATGACCCCCTGCTTGTCTCGAATCCGAACATCTCCAACCAGAATCCAGCGCGTGAACCGTTACCTTAGTTCACCGCGTCTCCACAAATTCAGTTAAAAATTATCAGACCACGTTAAAGGAGTTGCGTTATTTACGATATTATTAATGGGTTTTTCTATTTTCGGTTCTATCCTAAACATCCACATTAGAATGTGAACTATTAATATCAAAAATGACCTCATGGTGACACTCCTGAAGTTTACGTGCCTACAATCATAAAGCACTATGGCCTGTCAGTAACAAAAATGGAACTCTGAAGGAAAAAACGCAAACTTTTTGGAGTGATCATGAATATTAAAATTGCATTAATGTGCTGAATAAATAATCATCTTAAATCGTCTTCGCTTGAAGAAAGGGTAGCTGGGAAGCAATAAAAACGTTGCGATCTTAACTCAATATCTGAACTCTACAATTTACTGTGACTTTAACTCGTGCGACAAAGGATTTTACATCATTTATTACTTATTATGTGTCTGTTTTACCGTATAATGAAACTTTGAAGACAACTACCAAACTTTGAATATTCACAACCGTTTATTCACCACTTCACGGGTTTATTTGGAACCAAAACAGTGACCAGCTCCCAGTTGGCTTGTTAGCTCAGTTGGTGGAGCACTGCAGCTGTATCGCAGAGGTCATGGGTTCAAATCCCGTACAGGCCTGAAATTTTTCAGGCCTTATTTTCACTACTACTTAAGTAGTGTTCATTACTGCGAAGATCGCTTTCATATTCACGTCTTTAACCGCAGTTCAAATATATGACTTCCATATATTCACAACCGTTTAACTACCAAACTATGAGTTAATTATGAAAATCGAAATATTTTCTTCATAGAAACTGCCTGAAAATGATGTACATCATCAGTTTGATTGTCGCTCTTGCCACCATGGTGTGTTTTGCGATCGGGTGCCATCAGTCATCGTGTGGCTCCTTTGAAACGCACCAGTACGTGTTCAGGATTGGCCAGTATGACTGCGAATGCGAGCCATTTAGAGCTGGTCAGATGAAGTTTGTTGAAGGGAAAGTATACGTGTGTGATGGTACTGAGTGGAAAGCCCTGCAGTACGAAGCATTATTAGGTTCCAGAAGTGACCCTGGATTTTCGTGCAAAGACATCAAGGCTCACTTGAAGGACGCTACTAATGGCATTTATTGGATCACCTTGACGGGTAATTTTTAATCTACTAATGCTCCTAACTCGTATGAAGTGTTCTGAGAGTATTTGATACCTTGGTCGGGTATGTACAATTAATGATTAACGGTGTGTTGGGGGAAGGCCATGTCAAACTTTGGGCAAGATCACCCCAATATGACGTCTATTCAGGCTGGGTTCTGATGATCACCTCATGTGTTCCCATTGGCCTATCTTTTTTTCTCCTTACGCCTTCCACGCCAGGTCGAAGGGAACGTGAAAGAACTTGCGCGGTTGTTCGGTTAATTTGGTTGAGACACTTCCGATTACCAAATAATGTACTCGACGATCTTTTTGTAGAAGTACAAAGGTGTAGAAATAAACCATCAGACAATTTGTTCAACAGGGAAATAATCATATATGGTACTCGTGGTAGGCTGTTAATAAACCTTAAAATTTAGGTTTCAGTTTTCTAGTGATAAATCATTTAGCTTGTAAACGTCTATAGATTTTAAATGATGTAATTTTTGTTTTTATTGTCATTAATAGACAGCAAAGACTCTTTCCCAGTTTACTGTGACATGGACGCCGGAGGTAAATGCCTCGGGATTTACTTATTCACCCATAGTTCAAACAATCTCTGCGAAGGATTTTTCAATATGAGAGAGTCGTCCAATTAAGGGCTTCGAGAAGAACAGAAATCCTCGCATATTCACGTTTAGGAATCTTTACACGGAATCATTCATTTGTGTGAAAGTTGGTCTCTTTATATTGGTTAGCTTGGATAAGCTTTCCTGCTTCATGAATTTTTTTAAATAAAGGCAGATGGGACGGGTATGGAGAATTTTGGCATTGTCGTCTTAGAACCCGTCCTGTAACTGCTACATGTGATCATTTTGTTATGGCATATTTCACATGTGTATCATATTTGTTATGGGTAAGGAATGTTTCCTGCCCGACCTTGGAATTTATAGGTGTTATCTTCTTTTTGGTAAAATTATCACCCATTTTGAAACAGCTGCGCCTGTAATAAAATAGTTTTTAAATGCTTGTTTTGATTTTGAATTGATAGGCTGGACCATGGTGTTTAAAGCTGTTAGTGGAATCCATAAAAAAGTGTATCCTACTTTCAACTCGCCTCACACATCCTCTGAGAAAGTCATGGCCGCTCTCGACGTCACGAACAAACACAAAGACCATTACAAGAACAGAATAGTGTTGAACTGGGCTGACTTCCACGCTTCTGAGGTAATTGGAACATAACGTGACTACCCTAGTCAAAATGATCGCACAATTCTCGCGCGTGATTGGTCAAACAGTGTATGTTGATAGATTTGAGCATTGATAGGACAGTTTGATCGTAATACCTCATTTATTGGACTGCTCTCGTCATCTAACGCGCTTAACTCAAACGAAAACTGTTTTAACTAAGTCATGGCTTTAATGAGGGTGAACTGTTGATTGGAAACGAAATTTTGACATTGTAATGTTGATAAATGTGATTCAGGAAAGTTCCTTTACATTCTACGTGTTTGAGGAGGCCTTACCACTCCGATCCCCTTCACCAGCTAATAAACGTTCTGTTTAAAACAGGCAAGAGTTGTCCTATATACTGGAGGAAAAATCGCGAAGGAAGTAAAGTTAAACGCGAGGGGATCAGACAAATTGAATTGGTTTGCAACTCCCAGACTGATCGACAGCTCCTGGAATGACATGAAATCCCAACCAAAGAACGTATTTTCTATTCCCGGGCTGCACAATCGCAACTTCTTCATCAACAGAAACTACGGCGGATGTCCAAAGGATGCCGGATGGATGACAATCACGGGTCAGGACTGCGACTGGGAGAGGCGCTTCAATCCTCGACAAAATGTCATCATCTATAGCAAACTGCAGGGATACACCAACTGGAATTACTATGGTAAGGCGTCAGCCCTTTAGCCCTGAGAACCTGGTTAGTAATGCGCATATCAATCAGGATTTTTAAGCCCGAGGTGAGAGGAGGAGGGAGGGCACAGGTTGAGCATTTGCCCTTTATTGCCCACCACATTGTATTTCATTAGACTTTTCATTTACCGTTTCCGTTTATTGATTTAATTGCAGGGAATGTCGCAGAAGCTGATGTGTTGGTGGTTTATCTGCGTTAAGGTATTTTTTATGATGACTGGAACTCGTTAAGAAAAAAGTAATTGACAAATGTTTCGACAGCAAACTTAGGTTGGTAAAACATTTTCACGTCATCTGTGATGTATTACTGAACAGGCACACGGAAACATGGAATCTATTTGTGAAATGCATATGTTGTGAAGTAGATCATAAGCGAAAACTAGTCAACATTCGTCTGGAATTAAGCTCAATACACAACACTTCTTGGTATTATGATATACTTCTTACGTAAGAGTTGTTAAGACAACTTAAAATCACAAGGAGAATCATTTTATTTAACATGAACTGGACCAACACTGAGGATCTTTAAATAACCGAGGAGAGTGTGCAGCCTTTGCCATGAAAACTGCAAATGCTCAGACATTCTAGAGGGTCCTGATGGGGTGATGACTTTTACTCGGGTTATGGTTAAAAATTTCGGCCATTTTACGGCTTGAGGTTAACTTCATTCCTTTCGGAATAGAAGGAAAATTTTTACGGTTAAATTTTTTACGACTGACGGCTAAAATTGCTTCAATCTTTACGCCTAACGGCTAAATCCTTTTGCCGTTACGGATAACGGCTAACCCTAGAGACCCTCATTCTAGTCTTCTCGCCAAGGACGATAAATTGTGGGCCCCATCTCCTGCATCTTTTGTTTTCTTGTTCGCAGGGGAAGTTAAAGAACCTTCTACTTCTCAAAAACAATAGGGACCGTAGTTCCCACTGTTGCGGTTTGGCTTTTTTTCCAAAATTGGGGGCGCTTTAAAAATTTTTTGCGTTAAAAGCGCATCACAGCACAGCAGTATGGAAAATACCAAATGATTATAATGGCTCACTTGAACAGGTACAGATAGGCAACACTAACAGCAAGTCATTTCATTCAGTTTCAGAGAGCCACTGCACCTGTCCGATCAATGAAGGCCTCAACAGAAAAAAACAAAGCGTTGACGCAATGGGAGACATAATTTTGCTGGCTTTAGTTGCGGGGATAGAAAATAGCAGGGAGGGGTAAGGGGGGAGGGGGCAGGGGTTAGGGATGATGCTATCGATGAGCTTCTGCGCACGGAGCGAATACTACTCTTTTATGCTGAGTGATTCTTTAGCAATATTGACCGTGGAAAGCAAATAAATCAATTTAAACGCTATTGTGACTTTTCTCTTCTTTTCAACCTAGTAACGAAGTTTTCGACAAACAGTTCTAAATGAAAATCGCTGGCCTTAAGGGACTGGTCAGTCTTTATTTCCTGAGGGCAGCAATCACTTTCAATGAAATGAATCATTTAGTGAACGTATGTTCAAAAGAGATCATAAAATTATAATCTCTCAAAGTACATTTTCAGTATGTCTCCTTCACTTTTTGTAATATCAGGCACTGGATGAAGCTATGTTCAAATTTTTGTCCTGCTTTGATGCCCGCCCAGATATCGGATAATCTCGAAACTCTAGATCAGTTAGTTGGGCAACGACAAATTATGCACAAGTGCACTGAGCTATACATGATAACATTATGCTATGCCAACTAAATTGATACTTGTGGAAAGTAAGTCCGTAGTTAGTTTTTTCTGAGCACAACTCGCTGCTATAGGTTCGAAATGTTAAGACCTCGAGCTGAGCGAGAACCGTATGAACAAATTATATGTAATTATAGAAACAAAGAATCATGAGGTAACTCCATAACATGCTTAAAAACAAACTCTAACTGCGAACCCATCGGAGTGTGACAGCAACTAAATATTATGAGAATTTACCAGACTTTTTTAACGCTCTATTGGTGCCAATTCAAAACATTTCTTAATCAAAAAGTCGAAGATAATTCTTCGTGCATGCTTTCACTTAAGAAACAATTTCTTTTACCGATGACATCGATGAAGATCAACCTTTCAGACTCAATCAAACTTGCCACTTGCAATCCGGCACACTACGCAGCCGGTCAATAAACTGAGTATTCAAGAACAGCTCAGCTGTAAGTCAACAACCATCCTGCCATAAATACTGTACTCTGCATTGACGTGTCTTTCTCTTGTGGTGATGCAGCGACTGTTGGCCATTTGTACTCAATCGTAAATCATTCAAACCGACTCCTACACCAAAGTTCTAAGCAATTCACTTCTATTCTCACAGATGCAAATGAACGGTAGTGAATCAAACATGCATTTATTATTGCTTACATTAAACCACAACAGACTTAACTCCACGAAGATGTTGAAAAACGAAAAGAAAAATGGAAGTCACCGTAACTAGTTATCGTCATTCCAAATCTTGTCAGGGGCGAGTTCAAGCGGTGTTCGTCAGCGGAAGTGATGTCAGATGCTAATTATGGATGATCCAAAACACGAAAAAACCGCGAGTTTTTTTAACCCCTCTTTACCACCTCACCTGTGAAATAATTTTTAAAAAATATTGACTAAATCGTGTGGGTTCATTGTTAACCTAAAGACTGGCTGCAAATGGGATATCTTGTCGGTTTGAGCATTTTACTGAGCGTTTCAATATGTTGCATGATCGCGTCGTCTTTTGGTTGCGGTGAAACATATTACAAAGTGATCAACCTCGACTGCGACTCCAGCAAGGCCGGGCAGATGAAGTTTACTACCGGAAAAATATTCGTATGCGATGGTAAAGAGTGGAAAGCCTTGCAGTACGAAGAATCCTCTTTGGGCTCCAGGAGATACCCAGGTTTTTCATGTAAAGAAATTAAGACCAGCTTAAAAGACGCAGCCAACGGAATTTACTGGATCACTTTGAGTGGTAGGTTTACATTATTGAGATTTATTGGTGTACTTTCCTCATAAAAACAATTAGCTTAGAAAACGGCGCGGATTATTTCCTTAATGCTATCCTACTAGCTTATCCAGAACTAAGTAAAAGTATATCACAGCATGGAAGATGGAAATTTTAAGCTCTGCTGTTGATTTTAAAAAGACGTTACAAAGCGGAAATGTGAACGGTTTAAGAATCAATGGTAACTCGGAAATCTTTTGTCGCGCAAAAATTTTAACCAATCCTGAAGTCTCGTCAGACTTTGCAATGAGCCATACATCATCTTTTGGTCTAAGGCTAGAATCCTCTTATAGTATATTTTGTTTGTCTTAAGGTCGTGGCGTAACGAATAGAAACTTTAAGAAATGAGCATCCTGAAGTTTCGGCCCCTAACATTCCTGAGCCTGTTTACGTCGGACTGCTGAGCATGGTTTTAATAGAACCAAGTGCGCGATGTTTACGTTATAAAAGCCTATAGTGAATGTTGATCCCGAGGGCCTTGGCATGTAGATGGCTTTCTCTCTTAATACTAATTGTTATTCCCTGTTCTCCTTTTATCAACAGACTTCAAAAACGCCTTCCCAGTTTACTGTGACATGGCTGCTGGAGGTAAGTACTAGAAACGAACTTTACAAAACAATGCTTGGCGAAACTTGCACCAAACCATATTTTCTATTGAAAGGATCTGTAAAAGATTAACCAGGGTTGGGAAATTAGGTTAAGGTATTGCAAAAGGAGATCAATCTTTTCTCACGTGGCAGTTCCATGACGAGTGAGGGAGGTATTAAGGATGGAAGAACTGTGAAGAGGAAGGATATTTTCTAAAATTTTTGGCGAATTCTTGCACCGAAAATGAAACGTTGAAACAGTTATGGATCTCGCCAATTCGAAGTGCTGCTTAGAGCTTCGAACTCTGCTCCGATTACCTATCTTTACAAAGGATTTTTTTCTCTTTAAAATTGTTAAAGAAATCCATTTTTGGTTTAAAGGTTGGACTATGGTTTTCAAAGCTGTAAGTGGAGTCGATAAGAAAGTGTATCCTACCTACGTCTCGCCTCGAACATCTTCTGAGAAAAACATGGCTGCACTTGACGTCACGAATAAGCACAAGGATCACTACAAGAACAGAATAGTTTTGAAATGGAGTGACTTTGGGGCGTCAGAGGTAATTTGAATATGAAAAGGAAAAGTTAAAATGAATCATTACTTTCAAACAAAGGGTAATTCGAGAAAGATGCGGTCGTCGTGTCACGAGCGTGGGATAAAGAAAAAAACACCGAGTCCCTATCAAGAATCGAACTTTAAATCTTCCGATTCAGCGCTCTATAGAGAGAACATATGGCCATTTTTTGTCTCACTCTGGAGACAAGACGGAAAAGACATCTTTCTCTAATTCTTCACCGAGCTCCTAATTTACCATCTCCTTTAACCTGTTTAGTCAAACGGTTAATTATTCAAAATTTTAAATGATATTATTTATTTAAATTTGCCCTCGGGCAAAAATAATTTTAATCATAAGTCTGGGCGGGAAGTGTCAAGTCAGTCAAAAATGGTCACCATAGAAACGCTCGTCAATTACGTGGAATAAAACTGTCGCATATCTGAAGCAAATGAAGGTTCCGTGTTGTCATTTTTACGCACCCATCCATTCCTTTGCTGTTGCCAAACTGGTAAAAATAATTACTTTTCTTTTTTCTTTTCTCTTTCTTCCTATCAGGCGAGAGTTGCTCTTTATACCGGAGGGCAGCTAGTCAAGGAATTGAACTTCAATGCACAGAGAACAAACAACTTGAACTGGTTCTCGGCCAGCAAACTGATTGACAGCTCCTGGAGAGACATGAAATCCGAGTCAAAGAACGTCTTTTCTATTTCCGGCCTGTCGCGTGACAATCGTAACTTCTTCATCAACAAGAATTATGGTGGTTGTTCCAAAGATGCCGGATGGATGAGTATCACTTCCCACTACTGCAAATGGGAGACACGTTTCCTTCCTCGCAAAAACGTCATCCTGTACAGCAAATTGTCAGGACACACCAACTGGAACCAATACAGTAAGTCTACCATCTACCATGGAGGGGTGGGGGTGGATTACAATCAGTAGAAATGTGCCGAGTGGAATTAAAAGAAATCTCTCCTGAGTCTCCCCTCCCTTAAACTTGTCTCTTTTACGCCAGCAACCCACTAAATGAAAGAAATTTCTGGTTGTCGAAAAGAGAATAATTAGTATTGGCACGCGGAGATATGGAATTTCTCTTAGAGCGTTTACTTTCACCCGTTCGCCGCGCTCACTCGTGCGATATCGAGTTGAACACGAGAAGAGAAATTCCGGCCATATCTACAAACATCACGACCATGTGTTCTTTTTTTTCGTATCAATAATGTAGGCCATATATCCGAGAAAATTTCGAAAAAACGACTTTGGATTGAGAATGGTAAACGCTTTGACATTCATTGATCGACCTGACGGACTGGCGCAAAAGGCGAGTGACACGTTAGCACCAACTGATTGGCGATATCTTTTAACATGTCTTGCCTTTATCGAGATGAAGTGTAATATATTCATAGAATCTACCGCCTTCAACACTTAAGTTTAATAAATTTTTATAACCAGGTTGATCAAATAACCTTTTGTTTTTATTGCTACAGACAGCGTTGGAGTTGCTGACGTTTTGGTGGTTTACCTGCTTTAAGGTATTCAGTTTGATTTTACGTGACTGTGCATTTCAGACAAAAAATGCATTGCGGGAGTGATGTGCCACGCAGTTCGTGGCTTTGTAAACTGTCGCCTTGAAGAAAAAAAAGGCGTTTTAGTTCCATTTTGCTGTCATTATAAATGTGATGGTTTTGACTTGATGAGTGAAGTTTATTTCAGCTGAACGATACAAAAAAAAGTTAATTGTCTTTCGTCGCATTAGATAGTTTTTAGTGGGAAGAAATGAAATGACGAGGAACACTGGACACGATAATAAGTTACATCCTGGTCCTGTTCACCCAAGGCCCTCTCTTTCTAAATTTTCTGGATCTCCGTCTAGGAACAAAAAAAAACTACGTCTGCTCTACTTGGTGAAAAACAGCAGTTTCGATGATTAAGAAGGTTCGAAACAAACTAAAACTACATCCATGCAAATTTTCATGGAGATCTGGAAGCACAATTCGAGGGTATAATTAACCCTTTACACCCTAACATCAGTTCTCCACACTGTTTTCTAGACATTTCCTATGGTACTGACAAAGAGAATTTGTTTAAAAAACAAGAGCTTCCTTACTTCGTAGTCATCATGGTCTTTATTCTCATGAACTCAATGTTTGTTTTAGGGGTGTACTGATAGGAGAATATAGTTGCTAATCACTCTTAGGGTTAATAAAGGTTAACACAATCGTCTGTTTTATTCAGTCGCACAGCGTTAGAATTCTTTCTTATTCAATTTCAGGAATACGCTAGGCCAGTTCAGACTCAGGAAGGACTGATCAGAAGCTTTAATGTAGTTCAGTGCAGAGCTGCTTTCGTGGGGGATTTTCTTTCTTTTGTGGATTTGTTCTCGGGACCTGTTGCTGAAATGAAATAAAAAAAAAGCATTTAAACAACATGTTTCGATTCTTTTATTCTTTTACGGTATTAAAATTTAATTAACTTTTCCATGACGAGTCGGAAGGAACGACGAAACCCTAGATATACTTTATTGTAAATACATGAATGCAAAATCTGTTAGTGAATGCAACCGCTGATCTCCATTTTGTGTCAGTGATTACTTTGTGTATGCCATACTGTAAAAAGTGTCACGTCGATAACAACGACCAAAGTCCTACGGCCTTCAGTTACCTGTGAAGAAAAGTTTTCAGAGTGTCAGCTCTATCAAGTTTTGTCATGCTTTCAGCAAGTGCACTTGTCGCGAGAGGATTTAACCGTACCCTTGCTACAGTTTCTCTTCGAAGAGCTCTCTGTGTGCAGAGCATTCGGTCGAGTAGTGAGGCTCAAAACAAACAGTCTCAATATCGTCCCAACTTTCACAATACTCGTAGCTTTTCGCTATCTGCAGCCTCAGCACAGCTGGATTCTCCGAAACTACAAGATGAGTTGGAGCTAGATCCATATAAACTGAGAGATGAATGGGGAAAAGCATCGTTTGATGTGTCGCAAATGACATTCCTTCTGGATCACGACAACCAAGAGAAAAGAGCGAAGTTTCGTAAAATTCTCTCAGAAGATCCGCTGATGACCCCAAAATACAACATTTCTATCGACGAAGAAAGGGAATTGGCCCTGAAAAGACTGAAGAAACTCTGCGATCAAGGATTTATATCTGTGCTTGACTTCAGGAACAACCCTCTGTGGATCTTCGCAGCCCACGAGCTGGCCGCCGTGGTGGATGCTGCAATGACTACCAAAATGACGGTCCAGTTTAACTTGTTTGGTGGTACTGTGTTGAAGTTGGGGACAGAGAGACACCATGACAAGCTGTTAAAGGTAATGGGAAGATTTCCGTATAACCCCAATACAATTGGCCGTAATCCCAAAGGCAATCTACTGTTTTCACTGTTGTTTACTTTAATTATCGAAGAACTGTATACATAATTGATATTGGGTTGTGAAGAAATCTTGCTAAGCTTAAGGTAATTGCTGCATGCAGTTTCATGTTTTTGATAAATCATTTCACATACAAAGCTTCACAGGTACTTCTTGTAAGTAAACATGAAGGTTGTTTTCCACAATCAAACAAGGGGACCAGACGTGTCTATTTGTGAGGAGAACTTCACCACTAATCAGCTGCCCACTCCAGTCAAATCCAAAATTATTCAGAGTTTTTCTTAACTCTTTAACCCCTCAGAGAGACCAGCCTCTCATTTCTCCTTACAATATCATCCTTCAATTACACATTAAGGTCATGAGAATAAAGGAAATGGTCTCCAACCAATGAGTTCTTGGTTGCTAAACAAGTTCTTTATGTCAGTACCTAAGGAGATGTACGGAGAGCAGAATGGAGAATATGCATTTTGATGTCAGGGTGTGAAAGGTTACAGTTTGGCTGATCACTTGGGTCCCCAAAATCAAGCCTGTTCTCCTCTCTAAGCCTTCACTGGCATCCTATCTTACATAGTAAGCGCATAAAGGGAAATTAATAAAAAAAACCCTAAAGAATCAGGAAAGGGAAATTAACTTGGATAATGGCTTCACCTGCTCCTCTTATGTAAAGTATGCTTAGAAATGTTCTTGTAAATCAAATTTAGGGTATTGACACACTAGAGGATGTGGGCTGCTTTGGTCTGACAGAACTTGGCTATGGAAACAATGCAGTACAGATGGAAACAACAGCCACCTATGACAAGGAGACTGAGGAGTTCATTGTCAACACACCAACTCCTTTGGCACAGAAATATTGGATCACCAATGGTGCTTGTCATGCCCATCATGTTGTTGTCTTCTCACAACTGTACATTGATGGCGTTAATCAAGGTGGCTATTTTACTCCAGGGTTAACAAGTTATGTGATACACCTGTCAGTTGGTTCCTCTGTCTGTTTCTTCCTCTCTTTTCTTCAATTTTTTTATGTCTCTTTTTACCTCCTTCTTCCCTCAACCCTCACTCTTGTCCTTCCTCCTTACCTCCCTTCCTCCCTCCTTCCTTCCACCCTTGCCTTCCTTTCCAAACTCCTTACTTCCCTTTCACCCTCCTCCCTTCTTTCCTTCCTTCCTTCCTTCTTCATCTTCCATTTCCACCCTCCTTCCTTCCTCCTTACCTTCCTCCTTACCTTCCTCTTTACCTTCCTCCTTTCTTCCTCTTACTTTTCTTCCACCCTTCTTCCTCCCTCCTCACCTCCCTTTCACCCTCCTTCCCTCCTCCTCATCTCCTTTCCACCTTCCTTCCTTCCTCCTTGCCTCCTCTTCACCCTCCTTCCCTCCTCCTTGCCTCCTTTTCACCCCCCTTCCCCCCTCCTTACCTCCTTTCCACCCTCCTTCCCTCCTCCTTGCCTCCCTTTCACCCTCCTTCCCCCCTCCTTATTTCCTTTCCACCCTCCTTCCCTTCTCCTTGCCTCCCTTTCACCCTCCTTCCCCCCTCCTTACCTCCCTTCCACCCTCTTTCCCTCCTCCTTACCTCCGTTCCACCCTCCTTCCCCCCTCCTCACCTCCTTTCCAGCCTCCTTCCCTCTTCCTTGCCTCCCTTTCACCCTCCTTCCTTCCTCCTTACCTCCCCGTCACCCTTGCCTCCTTTCCTCCCTCCTTCCCCCCCTCCCTTATCTCCTATCTTCTCTCCTTCCTTCTTTAGAATTTGTTGAATAGAACAACCTCTGGATAACTGAACATTTTTCCATACTCTATTTTATATCTATCACACTCAAACAGCTTTGAGAAAGGCCAGTCAGAAGGTCTTTTCTCACATTGATACATTTGTACATGCACCATATTTAATTTCTGGGGACATGACCATCATCAAATATTTTCCAATACAAAAAAAAAAATAAGAGTATAATGTAGCATCCCTGTTACATGAGGGTCATCATAGCACATTTACCTGAGGGTGTCATGGAAAGATTTTGGAGATATCTATTGGATGCCATGGTAGCTATGAAATTAAAGATGGTTACCTCTCTTATTTCAGGTATCCATGGTGTACTGGTTCCCATTCGGGATAAGGACCTGAATGTGATGCCTGGAGTTCAGATTCATGACATGGGACATAAAATGGGTCTGAATGGAGTGGACAATGCTAAGTTCTACTTTGACAATGTCCGTGTACCCAGAGAAAACCTGCTCAACTTGTCCTCTGATGTTGCAGAGGATGGAACGTACACAACAAAAATAAAAGGCAGCATCCGAAATCGTTTTCTGGCAGTGGCAGACCAACTTCTCTCTGGGCGTTTATGTATAGCAAGCATGGCCCAAGGTACAAGTTGTGTACACTTCATATAATGGATACCTGTGTGCTTGTCATCCGGGAGAATGAATTACCTTACTTCAGGGTCCAGTTGTAGAAATGGTGGATAATGCTATCTAACAGATAAATAGCAATCTGGCAGATAAGTGACAACAAAATGTATGGTGTTATCCATTGGTTTGAGTTTATCCAGTGGATTACATTATCCAACCTTCATACCACTGGGGCCAGATCTGTAAATGTTGGGGGTGGGAAGGGGGTTATAAAGGCTAATTGGAGATGGGAGGCTTGCGAAAGTTGTACTGGGAGCTAAATTTGGGTCATTGTTAAATTCTCCTGAACTCTTGCTCAACTTGTCCTTTTAACTCCCTCGAGTGACCAAGACAGAATATCTCCTTACAATATCAATACAATATCAAGCAGACAAGTGGTTAGAATAAAAAAAAATACCAATTAGGATTTTTTCAGGTGATCAGAAACCAAATTCCCAGAATTAACATCTTAAGAATTGTATTGTAGATAGTAAGGAGAATTACTGATAAGATGTTGCAAAAGGGTTAACGAGTTGGAGTCCTTGAGAAATAATTACATAAATTTTTGTGCTTGACAAACCTACTGTGTGCAATATTCAAAATGTATACCAAAACAGGCTCCAAAAAAAAATTATATTTTGAATTGACTCGTTAATTAGCCCAATAGTTAAATACTACTTGGAAAACCATTTGCATGTCTCATTGTGGTTTGATTTTGGGGCAGAGATATCTACATTACAGAAATGGTGAATAGTTTTTAGAGATTATGGGCTTTGCTATATATGCA